CCCTTACACAGGGATCGCCTCACTGAGACCACCACTACCCTTACACAGGGATCGCCTCACTAAGACCACCGCTACCCTTACACAGGGATCGCCTCACTGAGACCGCTACCCTTACACAGGGATCGCCTCTCTGAGACCATCGGAGTACACATAGTTAGGAAGTATCAACGAAAACAGTTTTAGGGTTGGGGGGTCAAACCAACATAAGGAACTGTATTAAAGGGTCGCGGTGTTAGGAAGTTTGAGAACCACTCGTTTAAAGAAAGATTTACATTCGTCCCATCTGTCCTGGTCAGTTGTTAGAATTGAAGATGATTTTATTATTTTTTTTAATGACCCGAATATCTTTCACTGCTGAAGTTACTTAACGGCGCAGTACAAACTCTTTGAACACCATTGTGTAGCTTACATTGATACAATATATTCAGCATCCCTTACCTGTTACAACTTCAGTCGATGGAAGTTGTTTTAAAAATCTTCACATCTGCTCAGTCTGTCTTTGTGTTATGCATTTAAGAAATGTCAAAATATTTTCTACTTTTTAATGCGTCAAAGTCTTTTTTTTTTTTTTTGTCAGCATTAAAATTTTTCATTTTTAAATCATCGACGAAAGTAGAATCATTTACTTTTTTTTCAACGATGAATGCTTACGAAATCCCGGTTAAAGTGGCTTAACTCTTTGACTACGCATAAAACTAAAAATTAGATCTGAGCTCACCCCACAAACCCGCTCACTCAACGAAACAGACTCGGTTAACCACGATCATTTGAGAGACACTGCCAACCCGCTCACTCAACGACACAGACTCGGTCAACCACGATCATTTGAGAGACACTGCCAACCCGCTCACTCAACGAAACAGACTCGGTCAACCACGATCATTTGAGAGACACTGCCAACCCGCTCACTCAACGAAACAGACTCGGTCAACCACGATCATTTGAAAGACTCTGCCAACCCACCTCCGTCGATCGCTATTTCTTTCCCAGACGTTCCCCAGGTGAACACTGCGCGAGAAATTCTTAAAATGGTTCGTGTGCAGACAAACAAATGACGGTCCACAAACAAGATTACGGTCCACAAGATCGAAAACGCGAATAGTGAGAAATTCTTTAAAGATGTATAAATTTTTTAAAACAAATATGTTTATGCAACTGTACATAACTCGACAGCGGCGCGACCAGATAAATTGAGTTAGGCAGCCTTACATGGAATGTATGAAGCTACCAGATAAATTGAGTTAGGGAGCCTTACATGGAATGTATGGAGCTACGAGATAAATTGAGTTAGGGAGCCTTACATAGAATGTATGAAGCTACCAGATAAATTGAGTTAGGGAGCCTTACATAGAATGTATGAAGCTACCAGATAAATTGAGTTAGGGAGCCTTACATAGAATGTATGAAGCTACGAGATAAATTGAGTTAGGGAGCCTTACATGGAATGTATGAAGCTACCAGATAAATTGAGTTAGGGAGCCTTACATAGAATGTATGAAGCTACCAGATAAATTGAGTTAGGGAGCCTTACATAGAATGTATGAAGCTACCAGATAAATTGAGTTAGGGAGCCTTACATAGAATGTATGAAGCTACCAGATAAATTGAGTTAGGGAGCCTTACATAGAATGTATGAAGCTACCAGATAAATTGAGTTAGGGAGCCTTTCATAGAATGTATGGAGCTACCAGATAAATTGAGTTAGGGAGCCTTACATGGAATGTATGGAGCTACCAGATAAATTGAGTTAGGGAGCCTTACATAGAATGTATGAAGCTACGAGATAAATTGAGTTAGGGAGCCTTACATGGAATGTATGGAGCTACCAGATAAATTGAGTTAGGGAGCCTTACATAGAATGTATGAAGCTACGAGATAAATTGAGTTAGGGAGCCTTACATGGAATGTATGGAGCTACCAGATAAATTGAGTTAGGGAGCCTTACATAGAATGTATGAAGCTACGAGATAAATTGAGTTAGGGAGCCTTACATGGAATGTATGGAGCTACCAGATAAATTGAGTTAGGGAGCCTTACATGGAATGTATGAAGCTACCAGATAAATTGAGTTAGGGAGCCTTACATAGAATGTATGTAGCTATCAGATAAATTGAGCTAGGGGGCCTTAAATAGAATGTATGGAGCTACCAGATAAATTGAGCAAGGGGGCCTTACGTGAAAATGTATTGCACCGTCTTGTTTATTTCTAGATCACATGCTTGAAATCCAGAATATTTTCCTTACATATTGCTTTTATTGTCATAAGTTTGCACACTACAATAGTTTATCTTAATTTAAATATCATGAAATGTATTTTTTTAATTAAATAAAATGAATATCATTTTAAGATAAAGCTGGAACAATCTGTAAAAAATCTCACCATTGTTCTGTACTAACTCAACAGTCAACGTCAGCTGTTCAGTAAGAGAACTATCTGGTGGTGTTGAATCGACACTGAACGAAAGGTGTTTGGTGACTTGAATTTCAGATATTTGTGTTTTCATAAATTTTTGAATTGTCACGAGGTATCAGTTTTGAATCAAATCCTTACAATATCTCACGTGACCTCCTGAACAATAGTAGTTGAATGGATGAATGAATTTCTACAATACCTTATATGACTTCATCGATCTTGTAATAGATGTATGTGACCTGTAATACGTTTCAGATTCATTTCTGTGATTGTTTCAGATTCATCTCTGTGATTGTTTCAGATTCATCTCTGTGATTGTTTCAGATTCATCTCTGTGATTGTTTCAGATTCATCTCTGTGATTGTTTCATATGAAGTAAATCACATAAAATCCTCAGTAAATATTTTGATTTCTTTGTGGACAGATGAGTCAACTTATCCAAAAAAGAAACGTCTTCCTCTTTGCTTTTCCTCATCATCGGTGATAGCTAGAGATTAGATTTATGGCCAGGCGTAGGGGGGTGAGGAGCGCACCCACCCAGGGCGCCGTGTTTAGATGGCACCAAAATCGTATTTCCTGATCAAAATATGATTATAAATACATATTTATTTGCGAAGAGGGCGTCTAATGGTAAGTTTTGCCCGGGCGTAGTTTTTTTTGTCTTGTCACGGCCCATGATCAGATTAAAGATTAACCCATGTATCTTCTATCACCTCAGTCATGGAGCAAACGAAGAAATGGCCTGGGTCCTGGGTACGGCTTGAGGTCCATGCGCCGCAGGCTGATAACCGCTGCATTTTGAGAAGCTAAAGATTTAAGTATAATAACATACATACAATTTTATTTTTTGTAATTTTGAATGGAGTTAAGTATCATTTGTTTGATAGCAGGAAATCAATGATATCATACAAAGCCCTAATCAGATGTCGGACCATGTCCGCCGGTGTGATCGCCATCTCCCTGCTGGTCATCTTGGGCTACAGCAACAATTGGGAACTGGCAATTATCAACCAGATTGCTTTTCGGTTTTTGTCAACAGTAGATGAGAAAGGTCAGTCTCTGCCAGATTTATTAACTTGTCAATATTGTTGAATCGGAGATTGATTTTTTTTTTGATAGAGGGGGTAGAGGGGCCGCATCGGTCACTTCAAACTTTAAAAAAAAACAACTATAACATTCATATAAGCTTTTTATAAATTTAAATAACCCTTGACCTTTGAAATTAGCATCAGCTGAAGTCAGCATTCATAATTTGAACATCTAAATGTATCTGGTCCAGGCGATTACATCTGGAGGGGAAAAAAAGGGGGGGGGGGGCGGTTCTAATAATATGAAAATTGAAGTGTTACATGATATTCAGCGGAGGCATTTATTGGAACTGAGATAAACGCTTTTGAAGTCACCATTAGGTTTTGAGAATGTCCAGTCTGACCACATTCAATTAAGAAGATTTGAATTTATGATTTTTCGGTATGTTGACTATTCTTAACTACATTTTCACGTTAACTGATACCTAATGTTTGTTTGTTTTGTTTAGTTCATAAAACGTACAATAAGATAACACACAGAGCCATTCATTCTTACCGTATGTTACGCATAGTTCTTGTGGTATTGAAAATTTAATCTGTTTAAAGATGTGGCTAATAGGATGAACAATATGTAACACGGGAAAGAAAAACAGTATGCAAAGAAAAACTTCACCAATCCTAGTGATACTAAAAAGATTCAATTTAATTATACCATTAAATTTCTATTAAAAAAAATTAAAAATTCCAATATACAGAGGGAAAAAACAAACTATATCAACGTACAGCACAGCGAGTGAAAAGGCGCACTCCTCGAAACATAAAAAAATATTAATTCAACTATTCAATTGTATAACGTCTCGTATATGTTAGAACATGAATCGAAATTCCCCCCCCCCCCCCCCCCCGGAAAAATGCCGTCCTTTATAAAGGGATTTAAATCAGAACCATCCAGTAAAACAAATTCTAGAAATTGTGACACCTGATAGCATTCATTAGAACAAATAGAACGCATTCGAACGCAAACAGCATTTTCCCAAACAAGGTAGGGGTGGTTAAGGAATGGAACATCACATTTACTTGGTAACGTCAAAATCTAAACAAGTGGTGGATATATTAGCTCGACGATGAAGTGAACAAATGTGCCGAGACATAGGCTCTATTATAACACCGTATGCGCACATCATGTTCGGAATAAAGGGATACAAATACAAGTGCACACCACTTTTCAATGGTAATGGTTCTTGACTTCACATAAATACCACCGACCCAGAGTGATAAGTGTTCTTGATTGTAAAATAGTATATTGATTGCAACTATTTATTTTTAAGATCTTATGAGAAAGCTGAGTTTGTCATTCTATCGTTTGTTTTTTGTACCAGGTTTGTACAATTTCACAGTTGTGACGGCCATGTTTGACATAGGTCGAGGGTCATGGCCCAATCAGAAGCGGACCTACGAAACGTACCTGGCCAACATGCGGCCATTGCTGAAACTTAACGTCAACATCTTCGCCTTTGTTGACCACAAGGCAAAGCAGTTTATAGATGAGCATAGGAAGGGACAGGAGCGAAGGACACATACAAGTGCTTCCGAACTGAAGGACCTTCCTTACTACAGGCAAGTCATTGAACCTGTCACATCATAGGCAAATCATTACTCTTTCTGTCAACCTGCAGAGAAAAATCCTTAACAAGCGTGCAAGGATCCATAAAGGTTATGTAAAAACCATGGAGTCAGCATTGACAAGGGCGATCTCCTCAAATGACGAATGACGCTAAAGAAGGTGCACATCGGTAAGATGTATGGTCCCTTACTCGTACCCCACAACGCCTGCTGCTCAAGCAACCCCGAGAAGACACAGAGGCTCAGGCTGTTTCTCTTGCTAAAGTGACAACCCCATGAAATGATCGGTGGTACCTTTTCGATCGATGGCTGCCTACGGGTGACAGTAAAATTGCAAACGCAGATTTGTATGTGTCGGACTGTATAACCTTGTCAGGGAAACTCTTGGGGATAATGGCGTCCCTTCTAAAGTCCCCAACAAAGTCTCTCTCTCTCTCTCTCTCTCTCTCTCTCTCTCTCTCTATCTATATATCTATCTCTATCTCTATCTCTATCTCTCTCTCTCTCTCTCTCTCTCTCTCTCTCTCTCTCTCTCTCTCTCTCTCTCTCTCTCTCTCTCTCTCTCTCTCTCTCTCTCTCTCTCTCTCTCTCTCTCTCTCTCTCTATATATCTATCTCTCTCTCTATCTCTCTCTCTCTCTCTCTCTCTCTCTCTCTCTCTCTCTCTCTATCTCTCTCTATCTCTCTCTCTCTTTCTATCTCTATCTCTCTCTATCTCTCTATCTCTCTTTCTCTCTCTATCTCTCTCTATCTCTCTATCTCTCTCTCTCTCTCTCTCTCTCTCCCTCTGATCTTAGTTAAAACAGAATTGAAAATCTACAATGGATCAGAAAGACACTTAAGTGTACATTTCTTTTTTTTAAAATTTATTTCAGAAGTTTTGATTTGACTTTTCAAGTCAAATAATTTACCACTATTTAGACATCTTTAATTATTGACCAGGTTCAGGGGCCGGATGTCAGAAATCATGAACAGCTCTGAGTACCAGAAAGACAACGAGCTATTCAAGCAAAAGTTGTGTGAGTCTTACATACCAGACTACGATATCTTGCAACTTTCCAAGCTCTACTTCATGGACAGGTCAGTAGTGTAGTTCATTTAACGTGGGACAATACTGGACAGGTCAGAACTAGAATTATTCAATGTGGGACTGCACTGGTGAGGTCAGAACTAGAATTATTATCTTAAACTGGACACCGGGTTGTAAAAAAAAAAAAAGAAAGAAATATTTCGCTGAAGTTTGTTCACTTTTTATTCAATATTTAACTGAAAGTGCGTCACTTTTTATCAAATTAAACAGGCTTCAAATCTGCCTGTACATATTTGATACTTCTAATTTTATTAAATTAAGGGCCAGGTGGTCTGATCTATTTTAAATTGTTAGATCTTTTATAAAGCAGCCTATTTTACCAGACCACGTGGCCCTTAATTCAATAAAAAATTAGATAACAACATGTGTTTTTGTTGAGTTCTAGAATATTGATCTTAGTCCCGATGACAACCTGCATTTGTTCAAGTTTCAAGTACTCGCCACCCCCACCCCCACCCCCTCCAAACTAGACCATGAGTCAGGGAGATGACCACTGTGGCGTTTTACCACTTAAGCTAGGTTTGCCCCAACGCCCAACAGGTGCCCCAACGTGTGCACATCGCCAAGATTGTCTCACGATAACTCACAAGTAGTGGAACCTACAACCTATGAATTTGCTTCAACAACCAAGCACTAATGAGATCACGTGCCATCAAATACTTGATTTAAAACACATATTAACAAAATGTGTTACACATTTGAACTCGAGACATAACGACCGCCCATACCTAGTCATCTCGAGGACTTATAGTCTAACATATTTACATTTTCTCCTTAAGTTAATTGTGTTTGATTTCTCCCAAAACCTCCCCAGAGCTGTTCGGGAAAATCCATTTAAGACGACCTATTTCATGTGGATGGATGGTGGCTACGGACACGGAAATGACGTGTATCCAAAAGACGACGTGTGGACACCCAAAGAATTATTTGAACACGGCGATAAAGTGACGTTCATTGACCGGACCCCAGGGGTCCGAGCCTTTGAGAAGGACAAGGCCAGGCTCCACAAGATGAGCATCAACATCTTGGCGGGGCTCTTCTTCGCCGGCGGCGGGCAGGCGTTCAAGGAGCTGTACGAGATGCAGCAGCAACAGGTGGATGAGTGGATGAGAGACGGCGTCGTGGATGACGACCAGACGATGTACATGTTGTTGTATTACAAGAAGCCATCTTTGTTTCATCTGGTCCCCGGGGACTGGTATGACGTGTTCAAACTGTTCAATAAAAATTTGACAGAAGTGACACCATCACCGCGGTGATAATCGTGCGGGACTGACACACATCACCACAGTGATATATATATGGGGAATGACACACATCATTACTGTTATATTCAAAGGAGACTGACACACCCTCAATACAATGATATTCATCGGAGATAGCAGGTCTCGCGGTCTTATATTATTAGTTTCACACACATCTCTGCCACGAAGTCAAATTATTTTTATCCCGTTTCTATTTTTATAGCTAAAAGAACACAGGTGCGATCAAATTGCTCTTTTTAATGGATTTGTTTCGATATTTGTTTAATAGCTTCGCATTACTGTGTTGAAATCAGAGTTCATTTCTATTTTTTTTAAATTGTGAAAACTTTTTTTTATTTAAATTTTTGTTTTAAAGTTAAATATAACATATATATGTCAAGCTTTGAACTAATGGGTCAAGCTTTGAACTAATGGGTCAAGCTTTGAACTAATGGGTCAAGCTTTGAACTAATGGGTCAAGCTTTGAACTAATGGGTCAAGCTTTGGATCTCTCAGTGAACACATCACAGCTGAGCTTGTACGGTACTCCCTATTCCTGCCACAAAATGTTGGCGTAATTTAATCTCCTGAAAATGATGGCATCACAAAGTTCTGACCACCAATAACCCTCCCCTTCCCCCACTTTTCTTTTTAAAACCCATAGTCAAACTACTTTGTAAGTGGATCAAAACTGATTTTGGGGTGGGGGTGGGGGGTCACTTGTTGTAAAATTTGAATATGAGGCTGCGCGTTGGCTCACTCGGTGAACATGACTTTTTTTTTTTAATTTTAAAAACAAAGCTTAGTTTAAAATTGTTGTCCATTACCTTCTTAAGTAAAGCATGCTGTACGTATATATATAGATATATATGTGTGTGTGTGTGTAAAGTTGCCTATTAATATTATACTTTAGTTATGTTTGTGTTTATCATGATGTGATGTCACAATTTTTTCAATAGCTCCCGGTCACTCAGCGACTCAAGCTACTTATCTCAGCCCCTCAAACCCAAACCATCCCCCAGCCATTTTGTAATTGAATTCATTTATGCACATCCTACTCATATGTATATATTTCAAAACATTGTTCAGGGGCTGCAACAAAGCCATGTGAATTTTGTTTATCAACACCGAAATCACTTGAATATTTATCAACACCAAAGTCATGTGAACGTCGCTTGTCAACACCAAAATTAGTGAATATCATTTATCAACACCAAAGTCACGTGAACTTCATTTATCAACACCAAAGTCACGTGAACTTCCTTTATCAACACCAAAGTCACCTGAACTTCATTTATCAACACCAAAGGCACGTGAACTTCATTTATCAACACCAAAGAGTTTCCTGTAAACCTCCAGACTTCTAAAGTGGCTTTTGCTCACGAAGTATTTCCTCCGCTTGTAGTCGATTGTCGGGCACATCAGAGGCGACTCCTTGGCCTTGACATCGTTGACGGTGAAACTGAACGTGATCGCACTGCCCGTGATCCTCACGACTGCCGCCGTGAACACCCCGGTGGTCGGGTTGAAGAACAGCTCCGTGATGATGTTCCTGGTCACGACGTGGATCGCCGTCGGCATGGCGACCATGAGGCTCAGGTTCATGAGCATGGGCATGGCGTAGGGGAGGTCGAGGACGTCACGCGAGTAGTACCACCAGAAGTTGTAGGAGCTCCAGGCGAGGCACGGGACGACGTTGACGAAGTAAAGCGTCTTCACGAACTGGATGGTGTTGCGGTGCCGCCCCTTGTACACCAGGTGGCCGAGGTCTCGGTAGTCGGGCTGCGCCGCCGCGGACGTTTTGAAAGACTTTAGGTCACGTGGTCTGTTTTCGGGGAATGGCGGAAGGGCGTTCAAGCTATGGAAAGACGCGGCTGCTGCGGGACGACGTCCACTTGCCCCCGTCGTCGTGAAGCAGTCGCGAAAAGTAGGCGCCGCCAAGAGATTTGATCTTGGAGAAGTCTGTGGCGAAATGTGCCTTTGAGTGGAGACGTGATGGTGATGTTGTAACCGCAGGAAGGTTGCAGACATCATCGTCCCTGGTTTTAACGGAGTCCTTAATACCCGAGCCAACATGCCGGCGTTCAATGTTGAGGAAAAGTGCAGGCTTCGCTTCGATGACAATGTTAGGCTATCAATCTGGGAATGAAACGTCTGGGGACTGACGTCGAAAGTTTTGATTGTGTAAGCTTTCTTGAACAAAAATATCGCTAGCGTTTTAGTTAACGAGTGTGACTTAACAATAATTTACAAGTGTTGTAAATGGTTCTGTAAATTTAGGTAAATTTAGGGGTCGTACGCAAATTACGTCCCGTTCAGTGGGGTGGGGGGGGGGTCGAAAATTTTGTGACACTTTGTAACGGGGGAGGGGGGTCAAAAACTTTGTGACATCACGTTGTTTTTATTTCATTTTAAAAATATGAAGTCGAAATTGCCTAGGTATTATTGGGGGGGGGGGGGGGGGGTCGAAATTTTTGTGACACTTTGTAACGGGGGAGGGGGGTCAAAAACTTTGTGACATCACGTTGTTTTTATTTCATTTTAAAAATATGAAGTCGAAATTGCCTAGGTATTATAGATGCTATGAAACTCAGTTTTCTAATAATACAACATCTTAATCCATTATGGGATAATGTTAAAGAATAAAATAAAATCTTTGTTTAGTTATGGAAATTTTATGTATGTTTTGCTTTTATTTTTAGATGTGACGTGACACGGAGGGGGTGGGGTCTAAAAAGGTCATTTTTAGCGTGACATAATTTAAGAACGACCCCTTATAGGTTTGTTTTTTTAATTACATTGTCGTGATATTTGAAAAAAAAAAGTGCTTACATGAGGGCCTTCATAACTATAGCCAAACGTATGTTTCAAATTACAGGTATCTAATGAGACCTATCTATAGTGACTGCTGAGAAGTTTATGGTTAATTACAAATGAAAGAGACCTGAGACCAACAAGACAGTATGACGTAATAGATTTCTTGTTTGTACTAAGTTTGAACACATGTTTGTACTCACTAAACATTGTTTTGTTGTTTGTTGTTGTTTTGTTGTTGTTTTGTTGTTGTTTTTTTTTAAATTCAGAAACGGGGGTTACAGTTAAATCTATAAATAAGAAGTGGGCTCGACTACAATGTATAGTCAAACCCAAAGACCGGTAAATGTTTCAAACAGTAACGTTTAATAAGGTTGCACTCTACTGTATATCTCAATATAAAGTTGCACTCTACTGTATATCTCAATATAAAGTTGCACTCTACTGTATATCTCAATATTAAGTTGCACTCTACTGTATATCTCAATATTAAGTTGCACTCTATTGTATATCTCAATATAAAGTTGCACTCTATTGTATATCTCAATATAAAGTTGCACTCTATTGTATATCTCAATATAAATTTGCACTCTATTGTATATCTCAATATAAAGTTGCACTCTACTGTATATCTCAATATAAAGTTGCACTCTATTGTATATCTCAATATAAATTTGCACTCTACTGTATATCTCAATATAAAGTTGCACTCTATTGTATATCTCAATATAAATTTGCACTCTACTGTATATCTCAATATAAAGTTGCACTCTACTGTATATCTCAATATAAAGTTTCACTCTACTGTATATCTCAATATAAAGTTGCACTCTATTGTATATCTCAATATAAAGTTGCACTCTACTGTATATCTCAATATAAATTTGCACTCTACTGTATATCTCAATATAAAGTTGCACTCTTACTGTATATCTCAATATAAAGTTGCACTCTACTGTATATCTCAATATAAAGTTGCACTCTATTGTATATCTCAATATAAAGTTGCACTCTACTGTATATCTCAATATAAAGTTGCACTCTACTGTATATCTCAATATAAATTTGCACTCTACTGTATATCTCAATATAAAGTTGCACTCTATTGTATATCTCAATATAAAGTTGCACTCTACTGTATATCTCAATATAAAGTTGCACTCTACTGTATATCTCAATATAAATTTGCACTCTACTGTATATCTCAATATAAAGTTGCACTCTATTGTATATCTCAATATAAAGTTGCACTCTATTGTATATCTCAATATAAAGTTGCACTCTATTGTATATCTCAATATAAAGTTGCACTCTACTGTATATCTTAAGCACGTTGACATTTAAATCCGCTCTAACAAAAGTGCCAGAGAATTGCAAATTGCAACCAGGCACGGAAACATTGCAAATCCCTCTACCTACATAGGAGCCAGATTGATCGATACATTGAACGTGGGGCCTTAATATATAGAAAAAACACAAGTTTTTCTCTTCGAAATTGTCTGTAATGTGCAATGTCTTTTATGTGAATTCATTACAGATCCAGCGTAAAATGATTAATCCACTACCGGCATTTCTATGATAACGTCAACTGAACTTACGTTTTAAATCTGACGTTTTTTGTCTCAATGGAAATGGAGAAGAAGAAAAAAACGTACTGACGACATAGGTTCAAGTGAATGCCCTGCTCAGTCGTGCTGAACGGTGTTAGAAATGGGCTTTTCAATAATTCATAGTTTGCACAGCACCGTGCAAATGGCCATTCGGGGAACTCGGTGGCGGGTCAGGGGGGCGGGGGGGGGGTGGGGGATGGAGCGAAGTGGGCGATAGCTTCCAGTAGGGTTGTTGTGTTTGTTTTTAAATGAACGTGCATTACCAACATCATACAACAGATGTGTGCGCGTGGACGCTGTCTTCAACACAGTACTGACTGAGAGTACCCAGTATGGATGAACACAGAACAAAGTCTTACGGAGTGCGCTCTTTTGAAGCGACAGCGTCAAAATTATGGAACAGTTTGCCTCAATCTTTGAGGGGAACTGAAAATGATAAAAAAAATCATTTAAGAAACATTTAAAAACTTTTTGTTTAAATAGATTTCGGAAAACCAGAGCGCAGTGGACATGCTAACGTGGCATGGATACCAGCGCGATGTAAATATCAAAATCAAACAATCAATCAATTTCTGTTCATTCGCCTCAGTCAGCATTTAGTCGATTTTTAGAATGACATAAAAAGCAGTATTCCTTCGAGTCAATAGTTAGAATTATTTTTTTTCTAAATTCATTCCACTTGTCTTAAAGGAACTTCTCACTTAATTCTGAGTAATCCTGTCAGACATGTAGGTTACAACAGCGATGCCGTTGGCGGTCAGGCTTCAATTGCTTATAGGAGTTCATTCCATTAAAGACAAGTATGGTACACAACTTTTACAGAAATCAGCAGTAAACATAACTTCAGAATCGATTAGTTACCCTCAATAAATGATAAGACTCAAGATCACGAATGGCGACGTCTTTGATGACTAATTCCGCCTGTCCACATTGGACCATAATTGCCTGACTTGGCAAACACAACTGGACCGCTGGTGTGAAACAATCCTTCAGTCGAGATACTTCGTTTATCTCTTTCAGGTTGTGTTAATCAGCTATTTATGTTTGTGTGAGTTGAGTTGTTGTTGTTTGTTTTTTTAAAAAACACGATGGTATGTGTGTGTTTCCAATTGTGTGTTTCAAATTTTGTGTTTCGAATTGTGTGTTTCATATTGTGTTTTTCGAATTGTGTGTTACGAATTATGTGTTTTAAATTGTGTATTTTAAATAATGTTTAAAATTTTGTGTTTCAAATTGTGTGTTTCGAAATGTGTGCTTCAAATTGTGTGTTACAAATTGTGTGGGGCCTTGTCGGTCGTCAAGTAATAACAGTTATGATTACAAAATTACTTTTTAAATTTAAGTTTGGGATAGCCGTAGCCATGGCGCAGCTAGGGTTAGTGCCTTTCGGGGCCTTACCGCCCCCCCCCCTTTTTAACGAAAGAACTCTGCTGTTGGCCGACACACGCCCGTTCATGTCATGAAAATAAAAGTGTCACCAAGGGTGGACCGCCCCCTCAGCACCCACATGCCTAAGCCATTGTAGGTCAAAGTTCAAGTTACAAGGATACGTCCAAATAGCAATTTTATTTTTAAAAACTCGTTTATTAATTATTTTTAAATGACAAAGCAATGCGTCATTTTCGACGAATCTATTAACTATATTTTTTTTTTTACGAATTCCAGCAAACAATTCTGTCTTTCAAAGTCAGTTTTATGTTAAAGTCCTAATCAGGTGACCATTTAAGTCCCATAAAATGGCCATTAAAGTTCCATCAGATGGCCTTTAAAGTTCCACCAATGGCCGTTAAAGTCCCATCTGATTGCAGTGAAATTCCCATCAGATGGCCCTTGAAGTCCCATCAGATGGCCGTTAAAGCCCTATCAGTTGGCCGTTAAAGTCCCATCAGGTGGGCGTAAAGCCCCATCAGATGGCCCTTAAAGTCCCATCAGGTGATTGTAAACATCGTCGCTACGAAACTGAGCTTTCCCGAAAATAAACATTCGACCCTTGTAGAGGAGTACGGGACCGATTACGGGGAAACTCCTGGTCCGAACGTCCTTGGCCTTGAAGCGGAACTGGCGCTCCCGCGTGAAGAACGTGAGCTCCGTGGCGGTGAACACCTCGGTATCGGGGTTGAAGTGCAGCTCCGCGATGAATCCCCTGGTGGCGTAGTGCAGCGTGGCCTGCACCACGCTCAAAACCAGCACGGGCGCGGCCATCGGCTGGAGGTAGCCGAGGCTGAGCTTCCCGGCGGCCCAACCCTGCCAAGCGACGTAGGCGAGAAACGGGAGGAGATTGACGAGATTTATGAAGAACACGATTCTGATAAATCGAATCGCGCGGTCAAATCTCCCCTTGTAGACCAAGAAGCCCAGGTCTCGGTAATCTGGCGGCGGCGAGCTGTTGCTCTGAGACGCGTGGGTGCCGTTTGTGCCGACGAGTTCTACGCCCCGGCTCAAAAACGCCAGCGGTTTCTCGTTGGAGACCTGTCCGTGGAGTGGTGGTCGGGGCAGAAGAAGTGAGCGGGGGTAGATCAAAAGTCTCCTGAACGTCAACAGTGACCTGGAAATGAGGTGCAAGTGTTTCGGTGTTTGGTGGAACAGCATCATCCTTAAAAGTTCCTTTTGACTTCAGGTGGTCTACCTTATACTTATAGAAATCTGGGGAAATGTATGTGAAGTTATGGAACAACAGTAAGGTATGTACATGAAATACTCTGCAATCTTTTTTATCAATACGTATTACTGTCTACATTTTATGGGTGGACTGCGATTCTACTTAGTTTAACTGTTTAACAAAGGGGATAAAGAAAACGTTCGTGGCTTTTAGAGGCGTGGAGAAAAAATGTGGCGGAGGTGGGTAGAAAAATAGTTTACTTTGTGTTAAGAAAGTACAACATGAAAGCGATTTAAGAAAGTTCCGTATGAACTCTTTGTCAAAGAGGAAAAAAAAAATGGTAATTGGGTGTACTTCCTAGATGGGATGACAAAGAGAGAGCTCCGTTCCAAGCCTTCGGGTCTACCACGAGATTAGTTAGTGGGGTCGATTAGCGCACGATCATCCTAACCTCTTATGAAAAGTTTCACCAAGTCAATTCTTAATGAATAGACCTTTGTTGAAAAAGCCAATAATTATTTCATTTGCTTTTCTTTGATTTTTTTTTACTCTGGATTGAAAATAATTTTGCAACGATTGAAAAAATCTTTCAAATCTTTACATGAATTTTTAAAAAAAAATGTAATACTTTATTCAATTTCAAGAGGAAGGCTTTCTTTTTAGATTAATTATTTGTCAGCAAATGTTGTTGGATCCCCCCCCCCTTTTTTTTTTCTTCTTTTTTTTTCTCTTTTCAAAATAAAGAGAAATGATTACCAAATTAAGGTCACCAAAGTTTGATTGGTGTTATCTCTCTGGTCTTAGCTCTTCTAAATTTTAAATGGAGTAAGTAAATAACACAGAGACGCAACGTTATGAAATCTTACTTGATTGTTTTGTTTTAAATAATTGAATATTACTTATTGAAGCACATCGCAGTAGTTGCCAAATTATTTTTTCTGGGTGTCCTTGTTGAATCCACGTTTTGTAAAGGTGCCTTATATCCAATTCTAACGAGAAGGTCTACATTGTGCAATTGTAAATAATGTCGTTGTTCGTTTGCTGTTGTTGTTCTTTCCCCCCCTTCCACCCCCCCCCAAAAAAAAACAACAAAAAAAACAAAAAGAGACCGAATATCTTATCACATTTCTAACGAGAAGGTCTACATTGTGCAATTGTAAATAATGTCGTTGTTCGTTTGCTGTTGTTGTTCTTTCCCCCCCTTCCCCCCCCCCCCAAAAAAAAACAACAAAAAAAACAAAAAGAGACCGAATATCTTATCACACTGAATTGATAATGGTAATAACATTATAAAACATGTTGTGATATTTCGCTCCGTTCAGAGGGAACCACTGCTTTAGGGTTATCAGATTTCCACCCCAGGTAGAGGGTAGGCTACAAAAGGGTTATCAGATTTCCACCCCAGGTAGAGGGTAGGCTACAAAAGGGTTATCAGACTTCCACCCCAGGTAGAGAGTAGGCTATAATATGGTAATGAGACTTCCACCCCAGGTAGAGGGTACGCTATAATATGGTAATGAGACTTCCACCCCAGGTAGAGCCCCAGGTAGAGGGTACGCTATAATATGGTAATGAGACTTCCTCCCCAGGTAGAGGGTACGCTATAATATGGTAATGAGACTTCCACCCCAGGTAGAGGGTACGCTATAATATGGTAATGAGACTTCCACCCCACGTAGAGGGTACGCTATAATATGGTAATGAGACTTCCACCCCAGGTAGAGGGTACGCTATAATATGGTAATGAGACTTCCACCCCAGGTAGAGGGTACGCTATAATATGGTAATGAGACTTCCACCCCAGGTAGAGGGTACGCTATAATATGGTAATGAGACTTCCACCCCAGGTAGAGGGTACGCTATAATATGGTAATGAGACTTCCACCCCAGGTAGAGGGTACGCTATAATATGGTAATGAGACTTCCTCCCCAGGTAGAGGGTACGCTATAATATGGTAATGAGACTTCCACCCCAGGTAGAGGGTACGCTACAAAAGCTTCTAAAAATACTTTGTGACGAGAAACGCTATCCTTTTTTTTTAACTGTTTACTCCTGTCGCATACGATCTCGCATATATCGACCTAGAAGCAATATTAGATTCTATATTCTATGAAAGTTCATTATTTTTAGACATCGAATCGTGCGCCATATAACTCGAAATATAAGTTTATCATAAGCTTAAAGTTAATGAGTCATGACTAAAAAATATCATGTACCGGTACGTACGGTTGTATCAATTATAAACTTCTTGGTTTGAGCCTGTTAGGGTAATTATACTGTTGGGGCAATTACATTAATAAGCTGATACCGACATTTTTACTGATTTTTAGTTTGCATGCTTCCGTCCATCTTGCTCACTGATTTTGTTTAAAGACTGTTCAAATCTGTGCGGTAAACGGAAATACCCCTTTAATAAAAAATTAAATAAAAACGCTTTTAAAATACCCGGTACTTTAAATTTCTTTGTATTCCTCTTCTTCTATATGTTAAGGGCCCGCGATCAATGTATTGATAACTCTGGCTCCTATTTATGTAGAGCGGGTTGGCGATGTTTCTGTATCTAGTTGAAGGGGATATTTCACTAGTTGCAAGGGCTGCTCAGCGAGGGGATCAGGAAGTTGGGGTTTGAAGACCTGAGGCAACAGACGCAAAGGTGTCAAGTGATGTCGCCTAAACTGTTCCTAAACTGGAAGCTTGTTCCAGTCCCTGGTCGTCTTTGGTCGGAATGAACAGTGCCTGTACTGTGCTCTAGCTGTCATGTGATACAGGGCAATGTTCTGTATAATTATTGTTAAAGCTTAACAACCTATATTGTTTTATTTTTCACAAATTGTTTGTATTAACCTACTTGAAAGCTTTATCGCAGTCCAACATTCTTATAATTTGAACTACCGGGTACTTTGCATAATTCGAAATGGGCTGCATGGACCAGCAAGTCAAATTTGAAAAATCTGTCTTAATTTTAAACGCAACATTATAAAATCTGAAGGAACTGATTTATAAACATTTATCCATGAAGAGCCTGCGGTCTTCATCACAGTACTTGCTGAGTGTTCCTAGTGTGGATAAACACAGAAAAAAGTCGTACGGAGTGCGCTCTTTTGAGGCGATAGCTCCAAAATTATGGAACAGTTTGCCTCAATCTTTGAGGGGAATTGTAAATGATAAAAAATCATTTAATTTAAGAAACAATTAAAAAGTTTTTTGTTTACATAGATTTTGGAGGACCAGAGCGCAGTGAGCATGTTAAAATGGCATGGATACCAGCGCGATATAAATATCAAATCAATCAATCAAAAATCAATGGTAGTATAAGTGAAGTATCATTGTAGTATCAGTGCATACTAAACAAATTGTTTAAGTAAGAATCTTTCAAGAGACTAAAATGTTTACAGTCATCAACCATAGCTAATAATGTATTTATAAATATTTACTAAATAAATTTTCCACATGTGTATAATTGATGATTTACTTTACCAAAATCTGATTTTTAATTCAATAGATCTATGAGAGTCTTTGCAATACTTCTATAACAATATAAAGTTTCTTTGCTTTATTTCCTGTAAATATTTTTGAATGGTCAATTATAATTTGATCGTACTCCATTTAAATATATACACTAAAAATTTGATCGCTATAACATTTAAATACATATACTAATTATTTGAAACTCGTCTTGTTTAACAATTTGAAAATCTAAAACATTGTTATTCCTGTAGGGGCGTGCACCAAAGCCTCCCTTTTAACTCCCCAAAATCCAATACGTTATTACTTTAGAATCGTGTGTCGTCCAAGGTCCACCTTTTAACTCCCTACCTTAACAATTGCACAATTTGCTGGAATATTTTTTCAAGACAATGTAACATTTTTTGGAAAACATCACTAAAACTAAGAACAAATTTATTTTACAAAATGTTTTAAATGATCTGTATTGATAAACTTACAATAATTCATGAACATCATTTGTACTGGTACATTAGATGACTTGCTCCATTCTTACCATTCTGAACTATCAACAGTTATAACAATGAATAGACATCAAACACCAAACTCTTCTTCCGTCCACATCTGCAATCACTAAAATTTCAAGAAAAAACATTTTTCTTTTTACAATCAACCATTTTAATGACATTCTAAAAGCTGCCTGACAGACAGTAATAACATGAGGAATCAACTTCTGTTCAAATACTTGCATAAGAAAAACAACACAAAATTCAATGAAACTATTCATCTTAACATGTTTAACTACATTTTCCTAACCTTCAAACTTTTGCTCTCTTCAAACTTTTGCTCTCTTCAAACTTTTGCTCTGTCATTTAGTGTTATGGCTTAAAACTTTTTTTTTTTTAAATCTGTAATAAAATTAACCATGTTTTTCCCCTCGGTATTACTGGATTCCAGAATGAAGAAAAGTCTAAAATGTAGAAGGTATCATTGGACATTTTCCTGCCTGTTAATGTTAGTAAGTTACAGTAGAATAGCTTTCTAAACTTGGAACAAATGACCGAATAAGCTAATAGTAATATTGGTACTTTGACATGGATGTCCTGTCCTGTCCTGTCCCCACCATGAGAGTCGAGACCCACTAACAATTCATGATAATGATATTTTCCCATGTGTCTGTGGTAATCTTTCTTGATCAATTAACTTCTTGCCAGTGCAAATCTTTTTGTTTGGACAGCTCCACTAAGTGTTCAATGGTTAGCCCCTATGGCCCTGACGACTCCTGGGAGATAATGCCTAGTAATACCTTACTTTGAGCCATCCCCATTTTCTACACTATAGGACTGTGATGAAACTTTACCCAGTAATGCATCTCAAGAGTCATAACAAAACTGGCCTTCAGAGAAACACCAAGTTGTCTCACAAATGCCTGTATTCTAAAGCGAGATCATTCAAGTCAGGATTAAACAATAACATATGGTTGTCCAAAATATCAACACAAGTAGCACTCCCGATATCTTGTACATTTTATACCGTATCCAGAAATTTGTACAAAATGAAAATTGGTTCTAAATTATATTTGTTCAATGGAGATTTATACATTTCTTTAAAGGTGCAAGTGAGAAATTGGGGATATGCAAACTTTTTACTAACATTTATTTTTGCTTTTTTTTTTTTTCCCCTCATTTAATTTTTAACAAACATCCATTCGAAAAAAATTCTGTCAAATTTCTTTCATAAAAATTTCCAGTAACCTTTATAAACACAAGTAAAATATGGGGTGTAGGGCTCAACATTCTGGCCATATAGTGTTTACTTTTACTTAGCCATAAGGAGATCAAAAATAACTCATGAGAATCAAAAATATGAAACTGAAAGCAATGTTTGTCCTTAACAAAGATATCTGTGAATTGCTCTTTTCAATTAGTTTTAAGACAGGTATTTCTGATGCATTTCACCATGGTGGTTGAGATGTCCTGGTATAAAGTGAAGACTGTGTTATATTAAAATATTTTAAAAAAAGCCTGAGAAGTTAAGATCTGACACGAAGCTCACACGGATAACAAATGAATACGTTTAGTGTCATTGCTCAATGAATATATATATATAACAACAAAAATAATACAACCGGAAAGGAGACGGGGGGCGGGAGGTGGCTTGATTAAATAGTTAAAGTAGTTTTTCTCCCTTCAAATGCCTTGCACAGTTTAAAATGATAATATCAAACTATCCATATTAAAAATCAGCACCTAACTGCGATAAAATTGGTAACAGTTATGTCATATTAAGTCGCTATTAAATCCTTTCGGTTAGAAAAATTCACCTTTCTCAATGTGTATTTTCCTCTCATGACCTCACTGTCCATTCGGTTAGAAAGCAACCGATTTACAAATCAAAATAAATTGACTGCAAGTCAAGCTCTGCCAACAGTGTCAACATCCTCGCACCACACTCACTCTTTACCTATTGTGAAATGCATATAAGTGAAACATGAATAGACAGAGACAAATATAATCTCAAGACTAAAAAAAAATGATCCAGACAGCCGTTTGGTCAATACTTTATCATAAAATGCCATCAGTATCAGATCCAGAACAATAGATTTGATTTTCGTAAAAACCCGTCCCAGTCAACTTGTTGTCAAGTCCAGCTCAGCAAGTCACTTGGCCGACTCTTTCACTTTGCTGCCATCTTTTACAGGACTTGTCTGTTCTTTCTTTACCTAAGGGAACACCAAAATATTTTGCATTTGAAAAAAAACCTTAAATTTTTTAGTACTTACAGTAACTCCTTTTTGATCAATGATAAATGAACTTTGAGGTCAAGTGTACATAAAAAGTAATTTAGCATATTAGCAGTCTGTTGCAATCGTAATTATTTCATATGACCCAGGAATTCACATGTTTTTGCATACTTGAAACTAGTTTATTAAATTTTACTGCTAACTAAATGCTACAGTATTTTCAAGAGTCAGACTTTTTTCAATAGTAGAAGAGAAAGAGGACAGACACAATATTTAGCAATTGGTAATGAGTGGGAGATAAAGAAAGGACCTGAACTAGGGTGATGGTATCAGATCTTTTGTACTTAGACAACTATCAGAAATAGAAAATGTAAATATTGAAATCTTTTTTAAATGAGGCCCCCACTTTCCCTAACTTGTGTTCCACCTGCCCACTACCAGACCCAAAGACTGGGAGGTTGTTGATCAAAGTTTAGCGCTGTCCCTAAATATTGGGTAAAGCTTAAGGGGGCAGGCTACCAAAAAATTTTTTTTTTTAATTAACCAACTTAGAGCAATTATTTTATTATGGTCATGTTAAGCTATGAATGGAGATATATTTTCATGCTTTAAAATAAAAAAAAATTATATAGTTGCCATGGCAACGGCGGCCATCTTGAAAATAATACCCATTCGTAGAGTTCTAAAATTTTAAAAACAAACATACATATTGCTTAAAAATTGATTGATTCATGAACTTCAATTATATTTAGAGGTACTGAGCTAGTTTAATTTCCTTAAAACTTTTCAAAACATTTTTTTTTTTAATTTTTAAAATTTGCCTCGGCAGAAAACGCTTAAAATTTACCATCCTAGGATATGAAAAAAATTATTTTAACAAAAGTAATTGACCAAATTGATTTTTGAATAGCTCATTACCCACAAAATAGTTAAAGGAAGATACACACCAAATTTTATTACTCTAGCTTGTATATTAGCTGAGATTTTAGAATTCTACGTTACAAAACAACAGAAAAAAACAATTTTGAGAAAAATCAATTTTAAACTTTAAAAGTGAAAAATTTTAAGTTTAATATGAAAATGAAGTTCTTTTACATAGTTTTTTTTGTTCAGCAACATGGACATGGTGGTTTCTTATATTATTGAACTGTTGAATGCACCAGGAACATGGGTTTTAACTTCTTGAACTTCATCAGGTGCTCTCGTCAAAATCACAATTTTAAACAAAAAATTTTTTTCCTCTGGAATAAAGCTAATTTGTGTTGTATTAGAATTTTTTGTTCAGCATTATAATATAACACAAGTTATCCAAAGTCCCCAATCAACCCTTTTGTCCATGATCCTTTTAACCATGCTTAGATGACAAGGTTATGTTGCTGTCACCATCACTGAAATTAAAGCATAGTTTCATGGCAGCAATGCTATGTTGAAACTTTTGTACCTATTCTGTGTACTTCTTTCATCAAAGATGTCCCTCATACCAGAGGTGAATGAGTTATTTGTCTATTAGAAATGTAATAATTGGGAAGATACTTGCTCATAAATGTTTCATGTCTTCGGCATAGCGCAGTTTTTATACTTTGCGCAGGTTATAAATTTTGCGGTGCAGCTGGATTGTTTATCGCAGATATCATAGATTGCAACTTTTCATAGTCCATGCCATTGTCCTTCAGGCCTTAGAGTCTATAATTGATAATGACTTGGTTATCCAGTTGTTGATATGAACAATCTAACCACTCACAATCTAGTCATTGTTATGTTCATAGTATTTACTATTTTGTTTTGCAATCAGCTGTAAGTTATGGCTTCTGCAATTCGTCCATTCCACTGCAGACAGAAGAAAATTGGTAAAAGCTTTGAATTATGATCATTTCGAAATCAATGTTTAGCAGTCCCTCTGTAGAATTCTTGTCACTGAAGAATTAACTTTTGCTCGGCTCGGTAGAACTAATTGGGGGCTGGAATGGAATTAAAAAATTATATAAACATTATTTAGCAAATAATATATTGAAAATGATCTCAATAAGCCTATTAGTATTATTTAGATGTTTAGGATTGCTAAACTAAATACTTATTTTATTATAATTACTATTATTAGTCAATTGAACTGATCTTATAAATAAGGAATAATATAAAACTAATTAGCTATTACTATTAATAATTGTATGCAGATAAAAAAAATGAATAAGGCTAAGATTAAACTATTTGAGTTAAAAGATTCTAATACGAATTATTTTCCCCATACTGCTAATGCTAATACCATGCCATAATTATAGTAGTATTACGGCATATTGCGTTGTTGTTTTAGTCCTAGCCTTAGTCTTAGTCTTAGATACTATTACTTTGAACTACTCGATTATTTATCAATGTTGTTTTGTTAGACAACTATAAATAAATAGGCTTAGGATTCATATAATTTAACAATTCACTTGATTGGTAAATATAAAGACTAATAGTAGAAACTTATGTAATTCTCCGCATAAGGCATAAGCTAAACATAAACTCACAAACAATCCACACGCACGATCAATCATCAAGGCAACACAGTGACAGTACTGACGTCCGAACTGAATAATTTCAACTATCACCGATTGCATGTTGCTAAATTAAGGTCATTTTTTTAGTATACTTACCTTGAATTTCTGGCTTTTACCGAATGGGTAAGGTTGTAAACGTGTATTTTAAAATCAAAATATGCTGATGCTTTCGTTTGCAAAATGTCGTTCTGTACACAGAACCATGATCCGGTAAACACGCATAAACAACGCATTTGCGCATGCGCGAGTCAACGGTATCTTGGTTACCCTCGGTTCGGACCAATGAAAATCGGTAAAATAATTATATAAATAGAAGTGAAGAAAATCCTACACACACTTCGCTTGTGGATCCGATTATTTGTAGCAATTATATTTACTGACTTCGATTCTAAAAATAAAAAAAACTGCTTGAATTTACCTTTACGTTGATATATAATAATAGCACATTATGTTATTTAAAACTAGTTTTTTGAGGTCTCAAACATGGGATATGTATGAATTTTATTTTATTTCCAAAATTAGGTCAATTTTTAGAGTGGGGAGGGGTGTTAAATATCAGTTGTTTCACAACAAATCTTTTAAAAAGTAGTATCAATTGATATGTAATCGATTCTAAGAATGTTTATCTTCGTAAAAATGAAAAAATAAAAAAATGGACAATTTTTGAAAATTTTAGTTATTTTCGGGCGCCTAACCCCTTAACACTACCTGGTATCCCTAAGTTGGTCAAGTTTAGCAATGTCCTTATATGTTAGTCAAAGTTTTGCAATGTCCCTATGTGTTGGTCAAAGTTTAGCAGTGCCACTATATGGTGGTCAAAGTTAAGCAATATCCCTATGTGTTGGTCAAAGCTTAGCAATATCCCTATGTGTTGGTCAAAGTTTAGCAGTACTGCTACATGGTGGTCAAAGTTTAGCAATGTCCCTATATGTTGGTAAAAGTGTAGCAGTGCCACTATAAGTTGGTCAAAGTTTATCAGTGCCGCTATATATGGACAAAGTTTAGCAATGTACTTATATGTTGGTCAAAGTTTAGCAATATCCCTATGTGTTGGTCAAAGTTTAGCAGTACTGTTATGTTGGTCAAAGTTAAGCAGTACTGCTACATGGTGATCAAAGTTTAGCAATACCCCCATGTGTTGGTCAAAGTTTAACAGTGCTGTTATGTTGGTCAAAGTTTAGCACTATCCAAATATGTTGGTCAAGTTTAGCAGTGTCCCAATATATTGGTCAAAGTTTAGCACTGTCTGTAATGTTGGTCAAAATTTAGCAATGTCTCTATATGTTGGTCAAAGTTTAGCAGTGCTGCTACATGTTGGTCAAAGTTTACAAGTCCCGCTATATATTGATCAATGTTTAGAAATGTCACTTTATCAACTGTATGTAATAATTTTATTTTTTTTAAATATCCATCAGTATGATTTTTCAATTACCGGTACCGTACTAGAATGTAACATGCAATGGCATATGAAAGGGGATACAGTGCACTCCAGGTGGCACTTTATACCTCTATACTTAGGGTCCCAATTTCAGTCAAATGCCTTTTTTTTTTACATTTTGGAGGGGGGCGGCAAAATGCTTTGACCATCATGGGTCGCACTAACCCTAGCCACGCCACTGGTTACATGTATTCATATTCACTTGAAACATCTTTCTTCCTCATGAATTACACTTACATCAACTTTATTGTCCTTGTCCTTTGCATTAAGGTCCTCCTGTAAACAAGTTTAAAAGATGCAATATTGATATATATATATATATATATATAGTGTTTGTGTAACATTTAAAACAATAACATTGAAGAATGTTTCTTTTCTCCTTATTGCATATTTTGCCACGAAAAAACTTCACAATCTTTTTTTCCCACCTTGGTTATTCCACAAAATTTTAATTGTTGAGAATGACGTTAAAGTGAACAAAACTATTAAAGTAAATATTTAATGAAACTCAAAAAATCATTTTAACATTAGATAAACGAATTTCGACATAAGTCATTGCCATACTCACAATGTACATATGAATAAAATTTAAAAATGAACAATTATTAATCAATGAACCTCAAAAACTTTATGTTTTAATCTAAAATAAAAACTTAGAAAAGCCAGTGGAAATTAAAAGTCCTGCCCAAAGCTTTGACACCCTACTTGCTTTACTTTTGTGAAACGGCAGTTCATGGACCTTATTTTGCTTGCAATTCAGACGAACCTCTTTTTTATAAATGCTCATTTGATGCTCCTCTGTACAATGTAAGCATAGAGCCCAGGCAGTGTTAAACTGGGTGTCACACGTGGCACACAAAAGAATGACGGGTTCATTAGTTCCTGACAAATAAAAGGTTGAGGTTAAACACAAATTTATAATTATTCATACAAATTTTTAAAAGTTATTCTAGCTGATGATCAATCTCTAGTCTCAAGTCTCAAGTATATTTCTTATTTTAATTGAATTCTTTTTTGGTATTCAAATGTAAACTCATTTCAGTAGGATGTTAAGAAAATGACACCCAAATAATAAGATTCACAAATCCCTTTCAACTGCCTCTTCCTCAGATCTTTCATGGACAAAATTTTTTCATTATGGTTCTTAAAAACACTTGGCAAATAAAAAAAAATTCCATAAGATTTAAAAATGATTACTCAGATTTAACCTTTGGGTTATCATAAACTAAGATGAGCAATCAAAAATGGCATACCAGAATTTGGTGACGGCTCATCTTTGGCCTGAGTACTGACACGAAGCTGACAAGGTATTTTCTTGTGTTGAGCAAGATTGTGGAGACTTGTGAACTGAAGCTTACACACACCACAGATGAGAACATCTGGCCCTGGAATGGCAACATCAAGAGCTAGATTGATTCAAATTAAGAATTATTAAGCAGGAGTGAAAAGTCATCACAAAACACATTATTACAGATGGGAACAAAATCATGAATTTCAGCAAAATATAACTTTTTTTTTTTTTTTTTTTTAAATTAATTTTCACATTTTTTTTTTAACAGTAGAAAAATGAAATTGAATAATTAATTGTCAACAAAAGGAAGTATACATACAAATATTAAACGAAAGACCTTAAAAAAATTAAGATACTTACAAATAGTTTTAATAAAATATAACTTTTTTTTTTTTTTTTTTTTAAATTAATATTCACATTTTTTTTTTAACAGTAGAAAAATGAAATTGAATAATTAATTGTCAACAAAAGGAAGTCTACATACAAATATTAAACGCAAGACATTAAAAAAATTAAGATACTTACAAGTAGTTTTAACAGCAACTGGTTTATTGGCGTTATCCAAAGGCCTGTTAGAAGTGTTTGTCTTATTTGTTGGTGCAGCAGGTCGAGTTACTGCCGGAGATTTGTTCACTGTCTTCTTGGCTACTGTTGCCAGAGCACGCTTGACAGCATTATTGGCTGCTACCTATTTTTATATTGGGATAAAATATTTTTTGTGAAGGGTAGATGCACAACTATAAACTTATACATATACATATTTATCATTTGAAAAGAATCCAATAATCATTAGTAAGCAAATTGTATGTAGTGCAATTTTTGGGCAACATTGAGCACAGAACTTTGCTTCATGTGACACGCCAGCTGAAAATAATAATGAAACGATCAATCCAAAACCCAACATACTACTATAATTATCACCAAGCAAAAACTTATCCTATAAACCAATGAGCTATTCTGGATTCAAATGCAGACATTTCATTTCTTAATTAGCTTCATATTACTATTATTTTCAAATTAAAAAAATAATACCATTAATTTAGTATTATCAGGTTATCACATCATTAGAATTTTCAACATAAACCCAGATACGTGGGAGGAAAAAGCAAAGGATCGAACTTCATGGCGTTCTACTTTACACAGGAGCTCCATGCAACATGAAGTTGGCAGAACAGCGCTGCTGAGCGCAAGAGACATGCCAGGAAGGCCCCGTCTGACTCTGCTCTCGAAGATTCGCCATCAATCCCCTGTACCTATTGCACAAGAGAATTTTGTGCCAGAATCGGCCTCATTAGCCATCTGCCCACCCCCAGACAGAACTAGCACAAACTCAGACGATTAAAGTGGTTATGGTCGACTACCGACTGACGAAGAACCAACCAGAATTTTATGTCATAAATCTTTTTCATGTCATAATTTTGTTTTAATGTATTTATTTTGTTGCAGGTGATTTTGTACAAGTTTCTTTGGGACACATTTTAAAACTAATTTCAGAGGTTTGATTTTAAAAATGTTAACTCCGAGTTACTGAATCATGTTTCACTAAGGCACATCTGTTCAAGAACGAAGAGTGATCTACTAGATAACAGCACCCACCCTTTTGTTTGTCAGATCAGTAGCCCCACTGAGTGTGACCAATGTTCGCTGCAATGACTGGTTGGTGCCGAGGTTGTCCACGCGAGACTTCTTCACTGGACTGCTGAAGACATGAGGAAAATTTTGGCCATAAGTTGCATCAGTTTTTTTTTGGCTAGTCACAAATAACACACAGCTTGGTGCTGGTAGAACAGTTTATCCTCACCTTCTCCACTTGAAGCTCCCCATTGAATGTTCACAAGGTTATTGGAACTAAACAAACAATTTGTACCTACCATTCCTTGCTGGCTGGCCGTCTCAAGGCCATGATTACTTCATACATAACCAAATGCAAATTCCATTAAATATCGAGACACCCATTTAAAACAAAACTAAACAGTCAAAAATACCTCTTAAGCGTAAAGAATCTTAGCCTTTCTTTTTTTAAATCAACATCTTTAAAAAATAAATTTAAACTAAAGTGATACAAAAACTAAAGTGAGAGAAAAACTCACAAGAGTTGAGATGGCTCTTTACATTCAGCGCCTAAAAATAATCCTATTACAATTAAGCCTTTTTGTTGCGCTTAACTTTGTTCTCTCTCAAATTGCTTAGAGCTGTTACATAAATATATATAGTAGTCACTTGGAGGCTCCCTATAGTAATTAACATTTCATTTAAACTGTTATATGAGCACAAAAACCTAACACACCACACACTTACTCATGTTTTAACTGAGCCACATGATGGTTATCCAAGAAATCTCTAGATGAACTGAAACCAATTTCACTAACAAATTAGACATGGAAAAAATGGTGACAGGGTGACACATGTAGTTATATGTGAAAACACAATGTTCTCCCCCATTTTAACAATATATTACCTCGTTTTATTTTAAGCTCTGTTTAACCAGATGAAGGCCTTCAAGCATTGAAGTAACACGTCCTGCCTATTTGTCTTAAAATTGCAAATTCACTTCTGGTTACTTCAAACTCAACTAAAATTATACAAACCACCAAAAAATCCTCTAAAATTGCATGAAATAATGTTGCTACTTATATTCTTTTTAATGTGTATGCTTGCCCAAATTACATCAAAAATATCTGCAAAAATGAAAGGCTTTTACAACTTTGGATGGCACTTTCACAACTACATTTACATCAAGAGATCTTTTTTAATGAAAGTGTTTTTGTTTTATGCACTGTGCATCAAACAGAAAAAGTGAATACATTTTTAAATTATTTAGAATTAGTTTAAATATTAATGGTGCCAGTATTTGTTACATTAGAGCTTGGAGCAGGTTTGAGAGTAAATTTTTAATTGTGATAAAATAATAGACAAAAACAACAAAAGTTTGTATAAATAAAAACAAAAATAGTATTGCTAAATCAAAACATACGCAAATTTGTCATTTAAAATTTCTGATTTTTTCCAACCATTTTTTAGTGTTATGCATAATAATATTTAAAAAAAATATTTTTTTTAAAGTTTTATATTTGATATTATAGACAGATATGGATAGCAGATATGATTAGTGTTCTTATATTTTGTCTTAATTTGAAAAGTGAGGAATATTGTTTTTATAATTTTTTGTTAGAATTAAGAGACCATGCCAGCTATCTTACCTCTTTACACACAAAACTAAAAATTGTTTAGTTACCTAATGACAAACATGTATAACCTTTTCAATAGAGTACAATGGGCGGCTAATATATTACCTATGTTATGCCAAATGTCTTTGAAAAAGGAAAACTTAACCATGAAAACAGTTTCCCTTTGATCTAAATCAGGTAAAAAATAGTCCCAGTTATGTGAAAATCCTTTGTATTATTTGAGATCATTGTCATATGGGTACATATTGACCATTAAAAAAATAATCTTCAATACAGGTAAAAAAAAAAAAATTCAAACGTACTGCTAAAAATATGAGACATGCCTTAAAACAGAATGTAAGAATGTTGAAAACTCTTGATGGTGACCTAAAAATAATCTGTTTTTATTAAGGAGATAAAAAGTTTTCAACACACATTACTATTTTTTTACAGATTGTCATGAAAATAAAAATCGGACAAGAAAAACTATCTCTCACTGCTTCATTTTTCTTATTTAGTACATTCTTTTCTATAATCAGCCACTGTTACAATGTTAATATTTATTTAACGTGATCATATCAGCTTTGATTACAAATCTAATTTCGTTCCTAAAAAAATCTTTATAGTTTCAGAAATTATTTCTAGAGATATTCTTTTTTTCTATAAATAACTTTTCAGGTGTAAAATCTTTTAATACCTCTAATGAAAATGTGTGGTTTATAATCCACCCTTGTTATTGCCAATTAGTTCTTAGCTTTTAAAAAAAGGGATTGAACTAAATGCAAACAACAATGTTCTAAAACTTCATATAGAGTCCCAGTTTAAACAGATCAGTTACAAATGTTAAGCTGCCACAAAAAAAATAATTAAAAATAAGTTAAATAATTGGCCTTTGTTTCTACCACAATATAATTCATATGGTATACAATATAAAAACTTCAGCAAATTATCTTCAACTTACCCATTGAACTCCCACAAAAGACATACTTGCCAAGTGAATATGATGATTTGTTAAAACTAGTAAAATACTATATAATTACATGTATAAAATATTGTTTTTAAAATATCAGTGGAATGACATAAAATCCTTTAAAATTCTCCTTGTCTCTGTTTTTTTTTTTTTTTACCCTCATTGCTAAAGGAAAAAAAAACTTCTTGGAATAAAATTTTTTTTTTTTTTTTTTTGACCCTCATGGCTAAAGGAAAAAAAAACTTCTTGGAATAAAATTTTAATATAATAAAAAAAAAAATTTTTTCGATTTAAAAAATATGTAGAATCTTTTCTAAAAAAAGTAAAAAATACTATTTTCATAAATCTGTTGGCTTTGATGATTTCTAACCATATAAAATACATAATTGTATTACTTACGTATCATTAACAGTTCTTCCACCAGCAGAGCGCTTCAGCGCATTTCTGTTTTTTGGCTGAGACACTATATTGATATCTATAATGGGGAAAAAAATTGGTGACCAATAGAAAAAATATCTACCCCAAAAAAATTGCCTCACAAAAAATACTTTTTCCTTTAAAGAGTGTCTCAGAAGAGTAAAAAATTTAAAAGTGAAGATGTTCCTCCAATGTTATTTGGGTAATAAAATATGGCTATTTTATTTTACTTTTCAATGCAAAGGAATGTACCATAATCAATTTATTTTAAGCTTGCCATAATTGTTTTTATCATTTATAAGAAAAAACAATTAAAAAGAGAATGGACTATAAAATTATTCCATAAAAATGCTTAAAATGTATCTTATTGCATGCATTCCTTTAAATTAAATTTGATCTCACATAAAACAAACTAAAAAATAGGAAAAATTAATTATAAAACAAAGTATATTTTTAATGCCGCTTTTAAAAAATTATATTTAATCCGATGCCAACAGATTGTTCAAAAGTCTTCCAATGATGAAAACTTCAGCTATGGATACTGAAACAAAATAAAAATGTTACCAACTGAAATAAAAAATACTTTTCCTTCTTTTTTTTCCTTTCTTGAAAAATGTATTTTTTAAAAAAAATATGGAGATGTTGAAGCATAATAATAAGAGCTTATATGTTTATATAAAAAGTTTGTTTTAAAAAATTGTGACTTTGAGGATAATAAAATTGATAAAATAGCTGTATACAGTAGAAGCTGTTTTTTTTTTTTAAATAACTCAAGTCACTATTTAGAATTCCAGTTGATCAAATCCTATCATTTTCGTGTCTCCAATTTTAATAGCAACTAATAAAATTAAATCATGCTATAAATGAAGTGGAAGACCTTACCAGTCATCAAAATAATTTGTAATATTTGTAAATTAGTTTCCCTATAACTTTGCTCCATTTCTGTGATTTACCGGTAATTCAAATAAAATCAAATGTAAGAAACATTAATATTTATTGGTTTTCCCCGTTTTAAAAAAATTCCCCATAACAATAGTTTCAGGCAGAAAATAAGTCCCTATAATTCTCTATTCAATTTAAATATAAACTGCAATCTTGTTACCATATAAAGTGGCTATAAAAAAGATAGACTAACTTCACATATTTTATTTATTATTAATAAGATGTTTGTATAAAACTTAGTTTAAAAGTTAACATTTTTCACTGATAATATGGACTGGCAAAAGCTAGCATTTTCTTTTTTTCATCTAGCCTTAAATAGTTCTTAGAAAATAGAAAAGTAGTATTGCAGAATTCAATGCCAATTCAGCTTCTGATCTGTTAAAAATTAATACATTAGTTCACACAAAAATGTCCAGGTAAGCATGAAAATAAGACCTTGATGCTTAATTCTCTTCTGGTTTAAGTGAGGGATTGTCAACCGATTTGTGTTACCGTACCTGTCAAGTAAAATCAAGACATGGAAGAAACAGCAATATTAAATTAGCGCCAATGCCAACATTGTAGATACTGGTTATTTCATTATTTTAAAAAAATTTTTTTTAATGAAAAATAACTTAGAAGCTCTTTGTGTACATTCATAAAAATTATGCTTAAAATAAATTAACATAATTTTGTCTGTGTACATAACACTTCTTGGAGAAAAAAATATGTATAAATAATATTTTGACAAGGTACTTAATTCTGAATTATTTTATTGTAAATAAATGCCTAAAACATTTATTTAGTATACATTAGTATGCTTCTTACATAATGTATTCAATATTATTGGAAGAATAAAGTCAACTTAACTGATAATTTATTCAAATGATTAATTAGAAACTCACGCAAAAAATATTTAATACAACTAACCTAAAATAAATGTCCTCGAAATAGAAGAATCCACTTCTTTGGAGGTATTGTAAGGATTAGTGGAAGAGTAACTTTTAATAAAAGTTAATTTATTTAACTTTTTTTACATTTAAAATATAAAAACAAAAATGAAAAGCTTGTCAATGGGATTTTTTGGGTTAAAATAACACCTTGCAGATGTACTTAAATTTTTTAAGGATTCAATGTCAAGTTTGACCCTTTTAGGGAATCATACAATTGTGTAAAAATTAAAAAATACAGTTTTATTAATATCACTATCAGCCAATCTAATTATAAATGACCATTACAATGGATCAATGATAATCAGAGAACAGACAAGGAAAAAAGGGTTGGTAGTTATTTTGAATGAGTAGGTTCAGGTGAATTATGATTTTACTGTTATAATCAAGGTACTGCCACAAACTGCAGATGTTTTTAGAATAATCCACATATATGCATGTTATAGCTTTTTGCTACAGCATATAACATTTGTATTATTAAAAAAATGGAGTTACAAAATAAGAATGGAGATAATAATACAATTGTTTATAAGAAATATTTTTTTTTTAATATGAAAAGATATTGTGGACCTGAATTTTTGCACAAGACCTATTAAATTGTTTGAAAAACATTTACAAATTGATGTTTAGATAATGTTTCACATGAAAGACAACTCTTCAAATGTTTTTAATCAATGGGATCTCCAGTACAACAATTTAAAATGAAGAATAACAATACCATCCCCTAAACAGCCTTAAAAAATATGCTAGGTAGCTCTTTTCAGGCTTTCCATCATCATTTAACACTATCTAGCAACTCCTCATGCTTAAAAAGCTTTCTTCATCAACTGTAAATTCAAATTTCTGATTTCTTTTTAATAAATCACCAACAATATATGAAGGTGAATGGCTAAATATCATTTACTAGAGAAATAAGTACCAGGCGCCACAAGGTTGTGTTCTCCAAGACCTTAATACAATATGTACAAATGAATCCAGAACCCATGCAACACCATTCCAATCATTTAATTTGTTGATGATACCACCATTGTTAGCTTATCTGAAGAGGAAAGCTAATACAGCAACTTATTTATAAGCTTTATTCCTTGGAGTGATGAGAATTGTTTTCTTTGAATGTATCAGATACCAAAGAAATGGTTGTCGATTTCTGGAAGGGGGAATCACCCAATTAAAAATAAGCTGTCAAGGCATGACCACAGCCTAATTCTATAAAAAAAAAAGTAAATTGAAGACTTTTCTATCTTAAAAAAGTATACAGTTTTTGCTTTAACACACTGATTAAATAGAATTATAAAGAAAGCAAGTGATATCACACAAATTTTGAAGGATACATCCCACCCACTTCATCAGTTACTTATGATCAGCTGGATAGGGGTGAATTATTGCCCTAAAAGTAAGGAACGAAAGATATAGAAAATCATTTGTTCCTCAATGTCAAAATTAGCTAGCATGCTTCCCTGAATGTTATAAAATCAATCACTCTTAAAGTCCATTTTTCTCTTAAGGAATGGGGGCTTGATGTTATATGAAGGCTGATTTTTGTGCTTGAGAAATACTTTAAATGTCTTATGTGTAATTGTTTGTTTAAAAAATCTCAATCATAATCTTTATCAATATACTGTTAATGAAAATGTACAATTTAATAATAACATATTTCCATTTATTTGGATCAATAAAAGAATCTAATCTTAAAATTAATGTTACAAAGAACTACTTTGAAAAAAAAATCAATAGGTCATATAATTTTTTTTAAATTTTTAGGGCAATCAATGCAGTTGTTATCGGTTAAGTTGGTTTCACTTAAAAGCTTTTTTTTTTAGGGAAGTTGACGATAAAATGCTGCTTAGATGAAGAAAAAAAATTAAGATATAACATTCTGATTTATGTAATATTACAAAATTAGTTTTTGTTAATACTTGAAATGCATATTTAAATAATTTTCATAAGAAAATATTATCAGTTTCAAATACAAACGCATATACATTATTGAAAGACGCAAAAATAAATGATGTATTCAATATTTTTTAAGTATCATTTTAAAAATGGGTGTAAAACTTGTAAAAGTGAAAAGCCACAAAGTGACTTAATTTCTAATTTTCTAAAAACAAAACATATGAGACGCAATATTTAGATTATTTTGGGGTATAGAATTTCAGTAGAATTAAAGCTCACTAATCCCTATAAATTTAAATTAATAACTATGTTCAATGCTTGATATATGATAGCTGTACAAAAGAAAAGTGAAAAATTAAAATGATGGACAAGCTCAGTGCCTATGCAGGTAATACATATAAATTTTAATATTAAGCCCAAATTGCACTTTTGTTCAGACTTTACAATGCAGACATAGTTTCAATAGTTTTGCTGGAGTGAAGTCTAAATTCCAAAAATCAATTAAATTAAATATCAATTACTATATGATGATTATATGGTAATTTTCTTCTTCTTCATTTATTATAACATTTCTTATTACTCTTTTTTCACTTCATAAAAGTAGCTTCCATTAGATTTTATTAGCTATATCACACCAGCATGACCCGATAGCTAATTTACAGAATTACATGTACATCAGAACCAATACCAACTCATCAAAAATAATTTGCATGTGATTTTAATGAAATGGTAACTTAAGTCAAACTACAAATTTTATTTACGGGTAAAACATCACTTTCATAATTTATACATTTTTAAGTATATACTGGGTTTTTTTTGGAATAAATAATTAAGTTTGCACCTTTTTTCATCTTATAAATATTGTAATAATAGATAATAAATTTCAGCCTCCATTTGTTAAATTTTGATCAGAATTGTCAGCCAAATGAGAACAAGAAAAATCAGTCATTTATAAGTCATGCTTGTTTTGAATATGCCCCTTTTTTTCTATGCAGATTGTTAATGAAATAAAATTATATAGGGATAAAAAAAACTCAAATTAAAAAAATAAATGATTGCTATAGCTAACTTGTTTTACAAATTAAACATGTGAGTACATTATAACATTTATTTGTTAGTAAACATTAAATGGTTTTTAATTTATTTAATTCACTTAGACCTCAAGTGAAACTATGCCAACTTCATCTTACAATGACAGACAATTTTATTATATTATTTTAAAAAATTTCCTGAAAATAATGTGTAATAAAAAGGTTAAGAAAAATGTACACAAAAGATTTCAAAACTTACCTGTGCAATGACTAGTCTATATATATATGTATTGCAGATTATGACAAAATTTGAAAAAGTGCTGAAAATCAATTAAAATGATTGACAACAAAGATTTCATATTACATACCTATAGCCTGCCCTGCATAATGTTTTCCATCCTCACTGGCACCTGCTCGCCTGGCTTCATCAGGGTGACTGAATTGTACAAAAGCATAGCCTTTATGCATGGAAATTCCCATAATCATTCCATAGCGACTAAAGATACCTTCAATTGCTTCTTTATTAAGGACAATAGTATTGAGATTGCCCACAAAGAGTCTTGAATCCATAGATGCTGGGTCATTTGAATTAGTGCAGCTGCTAACCATTCCTCCAGGACCAGATGGGGGAGGCCCCATTCCTGGCATAGGGGGCATTCCCATACCTGGCATCGGAGGACCTCTTGGACCTAAATGTGGAGGTGGACCTCTTGGAGGTCGAAGAGGACCCATTCCTGGTGGTCCCATTCCTGGAGGACCCATTGGTGGCCTAGGTGGGCGACGCATCATTCTATTCTAAAAATATATTTGAAAAAACTATTGATAAGTCCAGTTGAAGTTTAACTTAATTATATTAACATAGCATTTTAGGACATAGCAAATGGAAATCAATCTGGCAATATACACAATTAAAAGTCAATGACTGATATGAGTGGTGGCAGTGGAGAAACAGACAGTGCCATCTGGTCAGTTCCCCTGAGCCCCACACTTCAAGAGGCATCAATCATGCTGTCCACTTAGTTACCCCTATTTACATTAAAATATCTGGATAACTTATGTTTAAGAGTGAACTCGGGAGGCAAATAAAAAAAAAAAAAGAGTATTCTAATTTGAGGTTCAAAAACCTGGTAAGAGTCCATATTATAATTTGCTCTGTGCAAACCATTGTCATGGGCAACCATTCACAGTAACTTGGATGTACTTATCAACCAAAGTATTTTTCTCATAGGTTCATTCATAAGAGATTTTGCAGTGTGCAAAAGATTTTAAATCATTGGTCAGGGAAAGCTTTAATTAATTAGACATGTGCAAATATTGTAATTATATTTATATATTTATACCCCCTTATTTATCTTTGTATTTAACTGTGAAAACGTGTGACCCACTTTCCAAGTTTCTGCCTCATTTGGCCCACAACAGTTCACAAATTTTTTATTTTAAAAGATAATGCTACCATATTTTCAGAAGACATTCTCAGTGCAATATAAACCACAAAGAACAACAAAACTTTTAAATAACATCAGGAATTTGTATTTTGAACAAAATTTTTTGAGGGTATGTTAAGAAAAATGTGAACAGAAAAATTGGAAAAATCTTTACTGATAAAGAAAAAAGAAATCTTGTGTATCGGTACTGAATTTGAGCTAATTATATGCTTCTGTTAAATTTTAAATTAATTATTATACTTATACTTATAAAAAGGTAAGTAGTCTTTTTTCTATAAAATTGAATGCATGTAATTACAAATAAAATTTCTTCAAAATCCTTTTTTATCTACATTCAAACGTGCCTCCTTGGAAGGAATTATTCCACTGAGTCGTGCAATAGAAAATTTTCTCTAGTTTCTGAAATAAGCCTAGAAAAACATCTTATCATATTCAATCATAATCCTCAATCTAAACTACACAATTTATTAATTCCTTTTAATATTATTCAAATTTTTTGTTAATTAAAACGAAGTGTCTACACGTCCAGATAGTGCGGGAGATATACGTCTGGCAGGCATGTCACTTGACCGCCGGACAACCAGTAAGCGTTATTATTCTGGCAGGTCATGTGACAAGTGGTCACCGTCATAATAGTTGCATTGCATTTGATATTCCAATATTGTGCACATATATTAGTAAGCCGATCTCTAGATAATAAAAAAATGCTGAACATGTTAATATATTCAAATGCTCTGAGATACATAAAGTGTTTGACTTTGAATATTAAACCAGTCGGTATATATACTTACTAGTAGTAGGCCTACTATTACTACTACTATTACTAGACTTTATTTGATTCCGACTCTTCAAAGAAAAAAGTCCCATATCTTGGTTAATCATCTTGTAGTGCTCTACCTTGAAGCCTAAATTTAAAATATGAACCAAATAAAATAAGACCTATGCCAATAAAGTTGTATTTCAGGATTAGTATTTAGTATTGCATGAGAAGTAGGCTAAGCTATCACTATATCAGCCCTATATTAAGATGTAGGGTTTATTTCTTTGTGAACTGTCAGCCTCCCCGCCTTAAACTTAATTACTTATCACCCTCACTATTACTTTGTTACGGCGGTCATGTGACTTGGTACCCGGACAAATATCTCAATAAAGTATTCTTCCGGCGGTCATGTGACTTGGTCACTGGACAAATAGTGCGGGAGATATACATCCGGCGCGCCAGAGGTGTAGACACTGCCTAATTAGAACTAATTTCTTTTTTAATTTATTATTATTATTAATTATAATGAGACATTTGTTTTCTAATTCTCTGTCTTAAATTATTTTTAAGTACTAATTTATGATTAAATACCTTATAATTATTTAATTTAAAAATACTATTTAAATTTGGCCTTTAAGTGCATTTGTAGTAATAGAATAGTGTTAGTTCATTATGCATTAAGCTTAATTTAGCAATTAGACTTAGACCTAATACTGGTGCCGGTAGTTCTCGGAATTTTATTATTTAAATTAAAATGCAAGTTCCCATCAACTTAATATTCATAATTTCCATTTATTTGTATCATCTTATCCATTTCTATGATTTTTTAAACTAACTTTTACTAATTTACTTAGATTTATTCAGATGTTTTTTTTTTCTTTCTGGTGATGAGGGTTGATCTTACATGTGGAAAGCAATAACATTGAATGGAACATGGTAAATTTATTTTTTCAAAGTTATTAGTAGCAATCCAAATTAGTTGAGCTTTTCAGTTTCAATCATGTATGAATGCTCCAAAGAAGTATTTAAGAGATTTATAGCTTACCGATAGTATATTAAAAAAGTGACACAGAAAAAAAAACGTTCCCCTCGTTGGGAAAATTTTATGAGCTTCACCGTAAGACAAATATTTAATGTAATCGAAAGCTGTGACGCAGAACCCAAAAATCCGAGTAAACCACAGAGCCAATTTTCAATGGTTAAATGCGAAAATGGCCACAAAAGTTTTTCCCTGATTTTTCGACATGCGCAGAAGGTGTGCGCGAGTGACTTTTTTTTTTGAAGTGCCTATTCAATGTCATAACATTTATTGATGAGACAGGAATAGGAACTGTCCCAGGTGAAGCTTTTCCTCTGCAAGGCCCTGCCAACTCACATTCCCTATTGATATTGACAATATTGTCTAGCTACTTTGGTAAAAAAAATTTTTAACATTTTGTAAAAATAAAATGGCATAGTTGAATAGAGCTAATTTTTTACCGAATTAAAACACCAAAATCGTAATTTTAGTTGTTGTAGTTTTAAAGTTATGAATTTTTAAAGTACGACTTGGTTTGTCCTTTTTTAACATGGACTCCAACTCCACATTCTGTGACCTCATTCCGCTGATCGTGTCATGCGCAATGACTATATAGTTTATATAAGGCAACGCATCCCCTATCACTAAAGTACTGTTAAAATAGGGTCGACTGATTTTAGACTTTCAACTTTGGCACATGAACAATTAATTAAAGCTTTCCCTGACCAATGGTTTAATAGTTTTTGCACACGGCAAACTCTTATGAATGAAACTCTGAGTAAAGCCGTTATGCAAGTAGCTGTGAATGGTTGCCAATGACAACGTGTTGCACAGGGAAAATTCTGATCATTTATAATATGGACTCTACAGGGTTTTTAAAGCTCAAATTAAAACTTTCCCGTTTAAATGTCTTCAAAATGCATTCTGAAACACAAGTTATAAAATATTTTGATGAATATAGTGGTAATAATTAAATATTTCCTAAGCATCGACAACTTTCACCATTAAAAAGGGGGGGGGGGGGGGGGGCCCACGCCATGTCGAAATTAGACTGAGCGACCTTATGGTATATAAAATATTTTGATGAATATAGTGGTAATAATTAAATATTTCCTAAGCATCGACAACTTTCACCATTAAAAAGGGGGGGGGGGGGCGGGGCCCACGCCATGTCGAAATTAGACTGAGCGACCTTATGGTAATGCAGGTTACTTGGACATGCGTAGCGAACGTTGGACATGACCTACATCAATGAGAATTTGCATACTTGCACATCAATGAGAATTTGTATACTTGCACATCAATATCTGGTGTTTATCAGAATTTAATATGAAAGACATCATCTTTAAATTTCTTTAAACATTTTTGAGAGAAAGATGCCTTATATTGACATACGATTTTCCTCACTTAAACTTAAACATGATATAAAGAACAAAAAAACTTTATGGGAATGTAGATCAACATTTCTCCTGCCTAATGTGAATGGGCGGAGTCAGACCTTAATTATGGACCAAAAGGACTCCTGTAATATTAAAATTACATGCATATAAAAAAATTAAAAACTCGGATTCTATTGCGCCGACGCCCATTTCCGATACAAATTTTCTGGGAGTGTCCCTTGCTTCGACAAGTACCGTATCCAATATTGTCAGTATTGTGATTGAGTCAGTTAAGATTAGTTAAGACTGTGACTCACACTCAGTCACAGTGACCATTGTAGTATGTCATAAACTGAATTACAGTGTGATGAGTATGACAGTGAGTTGGACAAGTTCATATTTTAATTTTTTCGCTGATGGATGTCTAATTTGACCACGACCACGGCATGACTTAAATTTAACGAAAAATTAAGTAGGCTACTCAAAACCAGCCACTCATGTCTTACTTAAAGTTAAAGTTTGACTAGCTTAGTAACTTAGGTTTAGCTTTCGGGTTAACTTTAAAGTTACTGCCCTGCCTGCCTAAGCCTATTATTGATCATCATCATGCTCAGTCATCATGTATTGTAATACTTAATAATAAATAATTTTAAAATTTATAATTCATTCATTTTACTTTTAAATTAATAATTAATAGCTACACATTTGCATACTGATACACTGATCAATGTATCCCTGTTGCATTAAAAGTCATATTCATGAGCTCTAAGTTTAAAGTTACCATTAGATTTTTAATGCAAATTTCTTTGTAATATTTCAATTGCACCGTAATTGTGAGATACAAAAGAAGCAGATGGACGATGAAGCTGTACCTCGACAATGGGCAAGAAAGAGATTCCGTCTATAAAATTAGGGATAGAGCCGTGTAAAGCAAGCATCCACGGGACATTTTTTGCGCTCACGCACTACACTCTCTGTGCCCCAAACAGATTTGGCAACAGAAGAGTGCAGTGACGTTTATCACATTAAATAAGATTTGATGCAGTGATTTAGTGTTGACCGGGGTGGGAAAATATTTTTTCCGCATCAACCAAAAAACTTTGCAGTTGACCATAAATGACAACCCTCAATATGAAGAAAAAGTTCCGCTCTGGGCGGATATCCCCTCCACCAGCACACATCCCACGCCAATAGTTCGATGGTATATTTAATTTTAAGAGGAATATGCCTACTTTCCATGTAATGTGTAATCTGTCGTTTAGCAATGGCACTCTGAAATGTTGTCCCCGGCCTCGTATTTTAATTGTTCCTGTTTAAATGTGTTTGTCTTTATAAGAATATTTATATATTGTAATTAGAAAAAAAAATATTATTTGGATCAATAAAATAATCTTATCTTATAAAATGTACATTCATTTTTATTCACACATTTACGCTTAGTGTGCAACATAGATTTGGAACTTGATGGTCATAACACATAGAATTTTAGCTTAAGTGTGGAATTTTATATCAACCAAGTTCTGATATCTTCAAGACTAATTAAACTAGAGAGGACAATTCATTTCTACCCCACTGAGATGATTGAAACCGGTACAAATATTCAAACCAGCCGTTACAAGAGTCTAATACTACTCTATGGCACAGGTTTCACAAATAAATTCCCGATAGCAGCGCTAAATGAGATTCTTATACCGCAAATGCGTAATATTTTCTTTGTCTAATGGAAATAGTCTCAATTTAAAATATGGCGTTATGAATCTGCGGTGTAAAAGTGGATGGAACATAAGAATATTGATATAGTTCAGGGACACAAAAAAGTGTTCAGTTGCAAACCTGAAAGGGGGGACACGAATTGGGATTCTTATCAATTGCTTTACGTGAGTGCATGTTTTGTCAAATAAATTTAGTAGATGGTATTTTTATGCATTTCTGTCGCCATTGTTTGGCAGGCTATAACTATTGGTGTAATAAATATGCAGTGTAAAAGCGAGTGGGACATTATAATATTAATATAGTTCAGGAGGGATGGCGTACGGGATTGAGGGGGGGGGGTAGCACTAATTGGGAATCTTATAAAGTGCGTTACTTGAATGTGTGTTTGGTCAAGTAAATTTAGTATCAGTAGATGGGAAGTTCACATATTTTTGACACTATTTTATTTATGTATTTATTTTTTTTGCCAGTACTAGTACAAATAATGATCAGTAAATAAAAAAATAAAGAAGTAACTTTCATACATAATTATTAACATATCATTTTTCATTAATTTATTTGGTCATTTGATGAAATTGTGGTGATAAGACTAAGAGCTTTCATTTGTTTTTATTATAACGTTTTAATGGATTTACTACAACTAAAAAGGTTTCAAGAGAGAGGTAAATTGTAATAAACTATAAAATAGGCAACCCTAATTATTTGTTATAATTTTCTACATATTTAGGTATTTGCATATTTTTTAACGAATGTATGATACGTTACAAATTGAAGAGAGATGTTTATATATACCGGGGCATAATGCAAATTATTCAATTTGAAAACACCCGCTCCGTTACTTATTATTTAAGACGGAGTCACTAAACACTCACTAATTTCAAATGAGCATGTACATAATGTAACCATATTTTGAAAAAAAAATTATTCAGTGTTCTTCAAAATGTGTACCGCTAGTTTTTAAAAGCGACCAGGAAGGTCGGAAACTGTTACTAAGAGCAATTAAAATAACAATTTTAATGTTTTGTTTTTATTTATTATTTTTTTCTGGTGGGAGTGTAAATATGTGATATCAGGCCATTTCCTGAGCTTATTCATTTTTTTTTTGTGGTTTCTAAGGAAGGGAGGTGGGGAGGAGGTGGTACTTTTTTCTTTATATTATGGGGGGTGGGTTTTTCGACAAACATAAAACTTTATTTCGTGGAAGGAGGGCGGCAAAAATCTTGGCGCGCCCGTGCGGCACTTATCCCAGCTACCTACGCCACTACTCTCTTTCCAAGTCTTTTCACGTACCCGGTACCGGGTAGTCTGTAAAAAAACAAAATAAGATTTTGGTAATTTTCTGTGGGACATTCATTTACCAAAACTGGGGGATTTTGAAAATCTGACTGACGCATGCACCTGAGCTGTAACACATTTATGTAATTTCTTGCTTGACCGACTGAGTAGTCAGTCCGATATGGAATTTTGGTAGAGAGAACATTAAGGTTTAAGAAGTGGGCAGGAGAATAATTAATAGATGCTGGTCTCTCTCTCTGCAAGAAGAGAAAATTAGGGAGATGCTTTCATTGTGAAACCCAGATCATCAGCGATCAAGGAAGTAGCAGATAAGTTTGTGGATGTTCAACCCAATAGTCTACTATCAACAAATAAAGAAGAGTTATTGGTGTCCGTTTCAAAATTAACCCCTTTCTAACTTTCTATGATGAGTTATCAGAGGATGAACTTTTAAAAGAAATACCAAGGCTTAGAAGACACCTAAAGGGCATCTGATATTGCATTTCACAAAGTCATGGAGTGGTCAATATTTGATGTTTTGAAATTTATAGCTGAATTGGACTTCCTAAAATCTCTTCCAATACTCTTGCTAAGCCTTCAACTTCAAGTGTTTCTTACGATCTGTGAGTCTGTGGCTTCATGTGAGTGGAGCTTTCTATAACTAAGGCTTATCAAGAACTATTTACGATCCACCATGGGACATTCAAGCTTTCTGATCTGGCTCTATTATCAACTGAAAGTGATATGGTGAAGGCTCTTGATCAAGTGATTGACAGTTTTGCGGTTTTGAAGTTGAAGACCAGGAAAGGAACATTTTTAATAAAGTAAATTTAATGTAAAAATAACTATAACTCAAACTTGTTAAAGTTTTTTAATACATTTACCTCCTGACCTTTATTTTTTGTTATTGTTATACTATGGACTTATTTTAACATGAAGAAGCAATCGTGGAAGGGGGGGGGGGGGGGGGGGTGACACCATGAATTTACCGCACCGGGTGAAACCAAACCTAGCTACATCACTGATACGTCGTACTAGACTAGTATTGAATAACTTAAGTCCTTTATCACAATAAAATATAACTTAAATAGCTAATTATTTACACAGGTTTTAATAACTATAAACACCTGCATATAACGCAGCTTGCTATCAGACAGAAATAAAAAAACATCTTACTTCCACAAAGTTCCATTCATGACTGCAGACGAATAAAACATACAGTCTAGACAATACGTCACTAAGTCAATTGCGAGAAGAGCGATAACTAACTTATAAAACTCTCAACTCTCAAACACACTGCATGTAATAAAACATAATATTCAGTCACAACAATTACTAATGAACTCCCATACTCGACAGTCAATTATATGGTGCATATGCATCACCATAATTACAAATTGAGTCATCGGAAGCCGAAGTTTTCCTGGGGAGTCAACACGGCCCACCCAGTCACTTCTTAATATATATAAATTTTATAATCTTGAAATATCTGTTTCTATACTGATGATAATGGTCTCATGCTGAAGTCAATTTGCGAGTATGTTCTCCAGATCAGTGGCGACTATTCCCAGACTCCACCATGGCAAGCTTAAAGCTTCATTGTTGCACAATGGTAACGAAAACCCGTATGTTACTGTAACTCAGGCTGTAGGTCTCAAAGAGTCATACGATTGATTCAATTTAACTATTTTGAAAATTATCAAAAACTGTGCTGACCTGAAAGTGGTATAACTTCTAGGATTTCATCATGAGTAGAAAAAAAAAAAATGTGCTACCGTACTTTTTTTTTTTACTTGTGGAATAGTCATAGCAGCAGCAGCTATTACAAAGTAAAACAGTGGCCTCCTAGATCTGAGCACATTGTTGGTCTGCGCAATGTTCAAAGGGGATCGTTTGTTGATCTAAAGAAAGTGTACCACCACTTCACATTAAACTGGGCCTCGTGAAAAATGTTGTTGTAGCAATGGGTTGTTAAGTACAAGTTTTCCAGAATCTGAAAGAAAAATTCTGAGAAATCCAAATTGATTAGCTGAAAGCTATAATTATAATCCTTATTGGGCCAGAAGTCTGCAAACTGAAGCATGATTCTTTCATTTTTTAAAATTTGAATTAAGCTGAACCCACTTGAACTTGCAGCTTGGGTTGCATCTATGTTGGTTAAGCAAAACTTTTTTGCGAATCACCAACCTCAGAACTATGCTTACAGACTACTATAAATAAGCAACTTGGCTCTTGATGTCCTGAAAATACGTTTCTTATATTCTCATCTGGAATTTTTACCATCAAACTTGATTGATGAAAGCAAAGAGCATGGATAGAGATTGCATAAAGATGTTTTTACCTTGGAAACATTGTGTCATGACCACTGCAATTCCAACATGAGGGGTGATTACAGCTGGTTTCTTTAGCGTGTAACAGCAGCCTCTCACAAGCACATAGGGGTGCCTAAAGAACTTTTAAACTTGTGTAGAGTTAAGTTGAGACGAAATTTTGAAATATATCCTTTTATCTGAGCAACATACACATCTTTATTTTAGATTTAAAAACTTTTTCATTACCAGTATCATAAGATTCTTTTTTCTTAAATTTCATTGTATTATATCAAAGAACTGAAAAAGCAAAATCTAGGTTCAGGGTGAATAATCAAGGGAATTTTCAGATAAGTTGAGACCTAAGACAAGGAGACTGACTGTCCTGTATACTATTTAACCTAACATAGAAGATACCCGGTAGTTATATGGAAGCAGACATACTGACACCCAAGGAACAATATCAGGATACTTTCTGAGGGAAACCCAAGACCCGCAACCAATAGGTACTTTATGCAATCAACCCCCTGGGAATCAAAGCATGGAAAAAAAAAGCATCGGTTAGGTCTGAGTGGAAGGATGTGTTGAGGCAGGCCAAAGTCCTACATGAGCTGTAGTATCACAGGGATGGATTATTGTATTGTTTAATAGATTTCACATTGTTAATAATATTGTTAAGATTTTCTATGGATTTTGTTTTAATTGTAGAAATCAAACATAACATTTCTTATTGGAAATAGGTTACATTTTTATTTTAATTTCAATTTATAAAAGAATAAATAACTTTTATTTAAATAAACAAGTTATTTATTCTTTTATAACTTCAAATTAAAATAAATATTAACCTATAAATATTTTATAAACCAAACTTATTACAGAGCTAGTATTTGCTTATATTTATATACTGGTAACTATAACTGTATCACTATATTCAGAGTACCGGTAGTCATAATATTAAACTTTAATGTTATGACTACCCGGTACTCTGAGTCTAGTATAATCACACAGGTATAGATATTGCTATTTAAGCAAATACTAGCTCTGTAATTTGTTTTCTTGATAAAAAATTTATGGTATTCACATGATGCTGCATAGCTTAAAATCCTGGCATGCTGATGGACTCGATTTAGTATAATCCACACGATGGATGTTGAGTTGCAGACAGAAAAGTTTTTTTTTGTCTAATGCAGGCCTGCACAACTTAAAATGTAAGGCGGGCCATAATATTTTATGAAAAACGTGTGCAGGCCAAAAGAAAATAGGACAGGACTTGTGCGGGCCAAAACAAAATAGGACAGGGGGAAAGCTATTAAGAAAATAATAAGAATAAATAATAATTCGTTACTTCAGGGGCCGCAAAGTGGGTGCTGGCGGCCGGGCCAGAGGGCCGCATGTTTTGCAGGCCTGGTCTAATGTAATCAGCAACATACACATCATATTAATTTAATTAAGTTACCTTTTAAATTATAAATGAAGGAAACTTGATAAAATTGTTATCAGAACATTTATTTTACAATGTAAAGTACATTAAAAAAAAGTAGAACTTGTACAGAGATAACTTTAGCACATTTAGAATTAAATGTATGCCAAAATGATCCATTTTATATACACATGAGTCACGTTGATTTGACAATCATTCCTTATTTAGTTCATTGATGTAAGTGCTCTAACAAAATGAACATTAGAACACCAGCAGTGATGTACCGGCAATGACAAGTATTTCTTTCATCCTAAATGTCAAGATGGTGGACTACTTAACTGTCCTCTCTGGGGGGATTTGTTTTTATTCATTTGCCTTTTCAACTCTCGCTGAAAAAAATTAATGAAAATATGATACAGATTTTACTGGTACACAGGAAAAAAAAAAGAAAGAAATACTAAGTTTAAAGATTAATCTTAGTTCTTAAAGTACAAAAATGAAATTTCAGAGATGGTCAACCTCTCAAGCCTTGTGGCTGCTAGAATATATAAGGAATCACAAGGCAACAGTGGGTAAATAACAATGAGTCAAAGAAAACTCAAAATTGCATAGTAAATTTTTGAATCAATTAAGGGCACGGAACTAGCTGAATGAAATCAGCATAAGTTTTAATGCTATCAACTCAGTGAACTGAAATTTTATAATGAGAAGTACTTTCATTTCGGAAAATTACAATCAATTAGGAAAAAAAAATCTTTAAAAATAGGATAGTGACTCTTTTAACATGTGACATCTTAGCTACATCTTATTTTTATAAATATATTTGAATGCATTTAAAGGGGGAAACCGGATTAACCATAAATGAGAAACTGAGGGTTCTCCACTTGTTTCATAGCATTTTTGGACACACACCATCTATTCTGCTTTGAAAACCCCAAAACCCCTATTTCTAAATTATTAAAATCTCTGTCTTTTGTTTAAATTTATAATAGTATCGCTGTTCCCCAACTCTCTTGAGAAACCTGTTTTCCAGATTATTATATTTTTTCATTTTACCAGACACCTGGATTTTTTAAAATTTAATGTCAGTAATAAAAGAAAATTACATAAATGGTATTAAAAAAAAAACAATGGTGACTTTACTTTAATAATACCATTACTATTACTACTAGAAATCCAACTATTTAAAAAAAAAATCTTTTATCTCTTTTCTGATAACATTAGAGTTCTTTGTATAATCCATGACTCAAGATTTGATGAGTTAGTCAGAATAGGGGCCATCCATAAAAGACGTCCAAGTATTGCAAGGTGTTACATTTCTAAAACAGGTTAAAAATAAACTGACCAATCCTGATAGGATTGTCAAGATAAATGTAGAGAATTTACCTCTTGCTTCAAACATTTTGTCATTGCCTGGTCCAGCTCATTGCAAGCACCAAATATCTTTTTGAATGGGTTCTGAAAATAATTTTAAAAAATTAAAGGTTTAAATGCTGTTTCAGAGTCACTTGAAATATCATTTTTTAATATTCAAATGTAAATAATGTAATTAAAATAACATCTTTATAACATTATTTAAGGCATGGGTTAAAAGCAATTTTGATTAATTATAATTATACTATGACTTCTTGTTTCACAAAATAAATGAAAACAATCAACACTTAATAACTCACATCTTTATGGCACTTTTTCAGAGCAGCTATCACCTCATTACACTCTTCTGTATGGAGATGGGGTGAAAGGTCAGGGTGCATTGTGTTTTAAAATATGCTGAAGAAAAAAAGTAAACAATAATCATAGCCCTTTAAAATGAAAATCTAAAAAGAAATCCCGCCAGATCTCAATCTTATTCAAGCAAAGGCAGGTGAAACAGGATACAGTTTGGACTTTGTGGCAAAAAATCCTTCATCCTCACCTAGGACAGCATTTTCCCCAAATGCCTGGTCACAATCCAGTGCTGGGTCACACAAAAATTCACAAACCTATTATACACTGCACACCTAGATTTTAAATTTCTGAAAACTTTCTGGTGAGGTGTGAACCCCTCCTCACTTTCACTCTGGAGCCACTTTTTTTGAATTAGAAAAAGAACAACATTGGATGGACCGATGGTAGTAATGAGTTTCTGGAAACTACAAATATTGTTTGTTTTTCTTGAATATATAGTTGTTGGACTATGTAGATTCCAGGGATGAAACTTAGCTGGGGCTAAAAACAAATAGTCAAGGTTGCTACAACTGGAATGAATTTCGTTTATGTTGGGCAAAAGGGAAGATTTATTTCTGGCTCTGGTTGCCATTATGCCAAATTTTGGTGGTGATAGATCCACTGCCCAGTGGCATAGCTAGGGTTAGTGACACTCTGGTCAGGCCCATATTATTGAATTATTGCAAACACTTCCACTTCCAAAATTGAAAAATCTGCATAAGGCCAAAAATGAAAAAAAGGGCTTTGGGGTTGTCGGGTGGATGACCCTTTCCACCCCCCCCCTCCGACGCAACAGGCACTGCCCACCCCAGCATATGAAAAGCAACCCCTCCTAACAAATTGTCTGAAAGAAACACTGTTCTGGGATGAAAACTTGGGTTGGAGTGTTCCTTATTATGCTTATACTTAATGGGAACTGCCTAGGCCTAGGGGTTTCAAACCCCTAGGAAGAGCAGGCTGCAAAAAGCAGCTTTGGTAGCCTTTAGTCACAGGCACACAATAGCATGCTATGGCTTTGCTGCCCACAACTTTCCATCATGAAAAGATGATGACTTTCACTTATTGATATTGCAACTAGACTAAGACTATATACACTAATCACTATAGTCTATAGTGTTATCATAGAGATTATATTATTTTATTAATATTAGTTATTAGGCCTATAACTATAAATAATAAAGGGCTCATATGTAACAGATTTAATTTAGGCATTTAATCTATTGACTATTAACATTACATTAGTAAAATTCATCTCCTCTCGCCTCTCATAGTTGCCCCTGTATGTTAGTATTGTTAGTATTAGTATTAATTATTATCCCACAAAGGGCACAGCAAGTTATTTCCAACTAATTACTAAACCCAAGTCCGAGTTTAACGACCAATCACTCAAACTCAATCTTTTATCTAAAATAATCTTACTACTGAACTGTACTGGTTACAAGTTAATATCGGTGGTAACTTAGACTTAATATTTTGGAGAAAAAAAAATTGGGCTAATGTGAAGAGATAGCACCCTGGTTCCGATAGGGTCAAAACCCTGGTTCCAAAAGGGTCAAAACCCAGGTTAGCGATAAGGTTAGGTTTACAACTATTTACTTTACTAACTTTAACTTTAGGCAATTTAGTATTTACTATTTAGGGACGCATTAAGTGTCATTTTCATTTAGGCTTTAAAACATAAGTTAGTTCGCGGGTCGTGGCAACCAAGTACCAAGGTAAAAAAAAAAACGCCGTGCTATCTCTTCACATTTACCGAAAATTGTAAAAGTCAAGAGATTCGGTGTTGGCGAAGAAACATATTTACTTCTTAAAAATCTATAGATCCTGTCATTATCTAAATTATCCACTTCGTAACACAGCGAAATTGTAATTGTAAGCTCATGACCCTGGTTTGTTTATAAAAGGTCATCAAAATGTGATATAAAGTTCAACCAAATGCCAAAACGAACATTTCCTTCAATGTTACCGGTACGTGTGCTTAACCAAACACGACACACACTTAGACTTATTATTAAGGAAAAATTCACAAAAAAGCAATTATATCTAACTCACGAGATATTACTTATAATGTAATAATGTCTTCGGTAAATGTAAAGGACGAATGCCACTATTTATCGATGGCCGCGACTAATGCCCTAAATCGATCCCTATGCCTAACCTAAACCCTAATTCACTGAAACTATAATAAACAAGCAAATGACGCCGTAGCAGCCGTCCTTAACATTAGCCATGTCTTCTTTTAACTTCAGATTAAACTTAAGAAACTTGTTTCCTATATGTTGTAGTTTTAAGTATTGGGTATGCCCTGTGATATGTGATGCGCTGATGGCCATAGGATATTTATTATATTAGAGCTTGGGGCGCCCGGGGTGCCTTGGTTTTTTCCACCCCTAATTAACGAAAACCACAATGAACACATACAAAACCAGAAGCAACAATCTAATAATAATATAATTATAAAGTGTTCAGAAATTGCCACCCCAAAGTAAGTGTTGCCATTGTGCCCCTCCCCTCTTCAAATATTATAATATTAATGCAAATGAATTAAAGGATGGGACTAAAACATCCGAAACAATTAGCACACTGCTTCTTCATTGTCTACAGTAGACTACGGGGCCATCCATAAATGAAGTCACACAAATTTTTCGGAATTTTGACCCCCCCCCCCTCCCCCATCGTCACAAATCGTCATAAAAATTTAGACCCCCTTGAAATATAATGTCACAAACCTCTGACCCCCCTCCCATACAAATGCATCTGTTTTAATTTTTAAAATTGTATTACTATTTAAATTATACGGGGATGGGGAGGATTGCGGGGTATGTTTTGAAGTTTACAGGAGATGCAGCACTGCCAAAAATTTAAGAATCCCTGACATAGAACATTTACTTACTATCACCTCCCACCCCTGTCCAACATTTCTCGTTCTATCTCACTTCCCGCCCGTGGTAGCCCCAATTCTATGATTCCCATCTCCACATTTTGACATAAATTTTCACGACAGTCAAAGTCCATACATCCTGATTCTCCTTCTCTGTGGCGCCTTGCAACTTGATCAGAGGCCATTTCTTGGACCTCGCATACCTGTAGGCTACTGATTCTCTCAGTACAGGGACATCGGCAGACATTTTTAGGTTGAAAATAGGCATTAGTCGCTCTCTGGAAAATTATGGAAGAGTTCAGATTTTTTTATAAGTTTTTATTTTAACAAATTTTTATTCAAATTTGGTTTGGACGCCTTGGCGCCTGTGTGATGATCACGCATCGTACCCACCTTGAGCCGGCCCTGTCTAATCATATTTTTTAAAATAATTATAATTATTGTATCAAAGAATAATATTAAATGGTCTGTAATTTAGTGTTATTAAGTGCATTTTTTACTATAATGTTCCACTTTCATTGTGAAGTCAAATTGCTTTAACTAACCGCTCTTCCCCTCGTCGCACATCGTCCCATAAATGCAGAGGTTCCGGACATTCTCCTATTTTTTATCCACAGCAATCAAAGTTGTTAAATACTACTTTTACTATTATTAATTGATCATAGTCTTAGACATACTAATTTTTTACCGGTACTCAAGACCAAAAACAGTATGAGTAAGACTAAATTAAGTTTGAGTTTAAAAATCAATTAAAAGCCAATTTTGTTTTACGCAACAAAAGCAACGGAGTAAGATAAAGATGATATACGCATTTAAACTTATACTATAATCTTTAAAATAAGCAGGAAGACAATCCATAAACTACAATTCAACATATTTTAAAGAGATAATGGTATTGTGGGGTATTTAGTTAAGTAAATCATTTATGCCAGGTATTGATTTAAAATTTGGATTAAAAATTAACACTATCACTTAACTAAAAAGTTTAATATTTTGATAGGTCTAATTTAAAATGTTTTTAAAATCATTATATTACAGTCTTATCAAAAATTCTAATTATCATTAGGCTTCTAGAACAACGATTTGACTATCTTAATAAATTGAAAAAGTACAATTTATTTTTGACCCCCCCAAAAAAAATACTATCTGGCTACTTTAATTTCGAAAACGGATGCAAACAAACGCGGCTGTTTATGACTTGTACTTAGTGCTTGTAAAATAAACAATGGCTTTGACCCAACAGTCCAAAGAAATCGTGAAATCTGTTGTTTCAAGATGTAGAAATTCTGCTATTCCTGAAATATTTTTTCGATGGGGAAGATTGAACAATGCCAATTTAAATAGACAAAGTTTTTCAGGAGCAAAGCATCAAATAATATCTAAAATACTAAAACTTATCCAGGAAGAGGTATGGAATGGCCAAAAAATGTTAAAAATTAAAAAAATAGCGTCAATTTAAATCTTGTAAAAATAGTAAATTCAGTGACCCAATTCCGCTGTTCGCGTCACGAGCTATATACCTCGCGTTTTATTGATAATAGGTAATCTTGCTGTTCAGGTGCATATAATGTTGTATATTATTTCTGATCGAATTTGGTTTATTATCTTGTTCAAACTTACAACTGCAAGATTACCAATAATTTTAATAATGTTATTATTTATTGTTATGCAATTGTAGGTACTTCCGTAAAGTAGGTACTTTAGTAAAAAAAGAATAAAAATTTAAAATAATTTTTTCATATTACAGTTATTTAGATAATTGTTTAAATAGACCTTCCAACTGGAACAACTGGATTTTTTCTTGACCGATGTTCAAGTGATAGATTACCAAATTTTGTATCGGAAATGGGCGTCGGTGCAGTAAAATCCAACTTTTTAAATTTTGGTAAATTTGGAGAGATAGCACCGCGTTTTTTACCATGGCCGCGACCCATGAACTAGGCACTCCAACTCAAATTTTCAAATACATCTGACATACACAATGAGCATACCATTGGAAAGAGCTGGCTCTAAGCTTTCCAATGACACCAAGATAATCTTTCTATCACTTATAGGAGAAAAGTTATGAATTTTTAGTGATTTATTTTTCCCCACTATTCGGCTTTGTATTTAATTTTTAAGACTGTGATCACATTATTACTCTATTTGTACTATTTTGCTTGTATCTTTTTGGCTATTAAAGTTAGAGCTCTCAAAATTGGGGGAAACGTTTAAAACACAATGTGTAACAAAACAAAACACATGAATTGTGAATTAACTTATTATATTTGAAAAAATATGATTTTATTAGCACATGGCGTGGATAACGACAATTGTCGAAAAATTTAATTTTACAAAAAACCACATAATTACTAAACCAATAAAGCTATAGCTATAAAATTTTCAATACAAACAGATAATGTCCATCTAAAAATAAGGCACATTTAAAATACATAAAATACAGATCAGAAATTTTTTTGCAATTTTAGAAAAAAATATTTCATGAAAAGCAACCGCGGCCGAGAAATTTTTACATTTAAATACATAACTTTTAAACTAATGAAGCTACTGTCATCAAACTTTCAGTAAAAATACTTTGTGACAATCCAAATGTAACAGAATATTCAAATATTGCAAATGCTAATAAAATCATGTTATACAAAATTTAAAAATATCATCGTAATCAGTCGACATTTTGATGTACATTTTTAAGCAGAACTTTTTAACTTACAATGCTAATTGAATAAAATCTTCAGTACAAATAGACAGTGACAATCTAAATTTAATAAAGTGTCAGTGGAAGATAAACAGGGATGGATAACAAATGGGGCTTGGGTAGACTGAAAAAAAAAAAATGAAATCAATGAAATCACGCAAATAAAAGAAATGTCCCTAGTAAAAAATACTAGTATTAAAATGTATTTATTTCATTAATTTAATTAAAGTATGAATAAAAGTCTAAAGATACACCCTTATAACTAGTAATCTTAGTTTATGTAAGACTAATGATTAATAATAGCTAACAGCTAATAAATACTATTAAAATGTATTTATTTCATTAATTTAATTAAAGTATGAATAAAAGTCTAAAGATACACCCTTATAACTAGTAATCTTAGTTTATGTAAGACTAATGATTAATAATAGCTAACAGCTAATAAATACATTGTTGTTGTTGAAGAGGAGTTCATATTTGCAAATTGATCAATTTCTTGTTTATTATAGAATAATTGTAAAAACTAAAAAAAAATTTTTAAAATACTTTCTTGATATATTTATATTGTGTATTCATATTAGAATAAAAAAAACAAAAAAAACTTTAGTTTAATCAGATGTTTCAATGATTTAGAAATGTTTTATTTAAAGCGTTTATTTCCAAATAATTTCACCTTCCTCCGGTCAACAAAATTATATAAAAAAAGATGGCCGCCGTTTTTTCATAACATGTGGATTTTTTTCTATCGCTCAGTATCATAAATTCTAGCAACAGCCAGTAATGTTAATAATAAATGCTTTCAAAATTACTGCGATCAAGCTAGCTTGTCTTAAAGTTTCTATTCTTGCATCCACTATACAAAAAAATTAACACGAGTTTAAACTTACCCACAGTTTGCGCTCCAACTGTTCGTCTGAGACAGGTCAGAATGACACAGCATTTATACCGTAGCTTGTCTTAAAGTTTCTATTCTTGCATCCACTATACAAAAAAATTAACACGAGTTTAAACTTACCCACAGTTTGCGCTCCAACTGTTCGTCTGAGACAGGTCAGAATGACACAGCATTTATACCGTCGGGACAGGAATTCTTCAGCAAATAGAGTTTAAGACTGAAACTTATTTATTTTTAGAAAATGACGCATAAGAACGACAAAGCCCGACATATACCGAAACCCGCCCTTCGCGGCTGGTCACAGAAATGTACCACACGAACCCCGCGGATTTTATCGCCCGCGTCGTCCGGTATTGGCGTGCCTACATGAACGTTTACGTGTTCATGGGTCGCGGCAACCCAGATGGCGGCCATGGAAAAATAAAATAACATTCACGTTTGCTAAAATTAGGAATAAAACGTTAAAAATAATGAAAAAAAAATTGTTTTTAATGTGTCCCTAAACCCAACCTGAATCCTAAATCTTTCCCTAAACCTAACCTGAACCCTATGGGAACCAGGGTTTTGACCTTTTAATTTTGTATAAAAGTAAACAAATTTAAAAACAATAATAGTTTTATGTAAAGTCACATTTTTATTAATGCTGTGTGTTGAAACAGGAAATTTGAGCTTGCTAGGCTTCATGCATTCTGCACCAGCATTATATAGTCTTGCTCTGTCTAGATAACAAATATCTTGAGATACCTAAGTATAATTATATAATGATATCTTCAGTACCGGGTATGTATAGTATATTTTTACATTTTTTCTTTCCTTTTAGGCGTGCGATTTAAATGATGAAATTATTGGCGAACTTGAGCTTGTCTGTAAGTAAACAGTATTGTTTTTTTTTTTTACAAGCTCTAACTCTAATTTGAATATGATAAACCTAAATTTTAATAGTATATTTTATTGCCATGGTTAAAATTCAATTCCTTTTATGACATAAGTAATAACGCTATGATGTTGACATATAAAAGAAATTGGGAGGAAATTGTCTTTATCATGCTTATCTTGGTTGAAAGGTGAAAAATCATACACAGAAGTAAGTATAATAGAACTGGTCTGGAGGAGAGGGAGAATAAATAATACATCTCATGTTAGTGGGTACATGCTAATGCCTTTAGTTGGTAATTTAAATTGACGTAACTAACAACCATCTAAATCTAAACTTTACATGAAGCAATCTTTAGAATTTAAATTTCTCTCCTTTACAATTTATGATTTGAACCAACATGAGAAATGGGTTTAACATATGAGATTTTTCATCTAATTTTTATTTTTAATTTTTTTTTTCATCAGACACTCAGTTGGAGTCCAGGAGCACAATATGGAAAGTTTATAAATTAACAGGTTAGCATTGTTAACATAATTTTTATTGATAAAACTGCTTGTTCGCACAAAAATAATTTCTGTATCATTATTTATCATGTCATGTGTCCTTTTTTGTGTGTGGGCTTAGTCTTAACCCAGGGCTTCACAGCATTCATGCAAGTCTTATATGGATTTATGTTTTGTCTGTTGAAAAATGCCTTTAATTTAAAAAAATTCTAACAAGCTTCACACTTAATAAAAGTCTTTGTCTATTTGGGAACATGGTCTTCACTTTAGTCCCTTTAATTGCTTTTACATCATTGTCTGTCCCATATAACAGCAAGATCTGCTAATTTTTAAAAAAAATGTTTTTCCTGCAATCTTTCTGAATCGTAGTCTTTAATTTGTGTTTTTCCAGGGACTGACCTTAACCTTAATCTTGATCCAAGAACCCTGCGTTCTAAACTTCAACAAAGCTTAGAGTTGAAATGGAAGGATGGTTGCGTTGTGAGTTTTATATGTATTATTTTTTTCATGTATGGGTATAGAAAAAAAAGTGCAGTGTATAAGTGGATGGGAAAACTAAAAGCTTGCATTGGGATTTCACATCTAAAAATTTAAGTTCCAATTTAATGGAAAAATGAAACATTTTCTCATAATTACTTTGCTTTAAACTCCTTGGCTGCCTGAAGAGAAATAAAATGTTATAAATCTGTCTCCAAATCTCTGGCCTAAAAATGCACTGATCTATGCCAGAAAATATTAAGTTTTAGTTCCATTCAATAAATAAAACTTTCCTTGGTTAAAATGAATTACTGTTATTAATTTTGTAATCAATAGCATTGCTATTTTATTTTTTTAACATTTCTCTTTGCACATTTCTGTCTCTAGTATGGAAATATGAGAATGTTTGCTGGTGGGGTATGGCTCCGCATGCATATGAGTTTGTCACTGGCACAAGGAAATGGCGGAAAGAAGACAGGGGCATACCAGGCAAAAAATTCAGTTTTTGTTGTCACCTTCCCAGGTTCACCTTATGTTATGGTCAGTAAGGCAGGTGTCAAGCTTGTAAAACTAGTTACAGAGGTAAGCATTTCCTGTGCATTTTGGAAAGCACTCTAGATGAAGTTCTAGGTTGTTAACTAAAATTATTCTTTTTTTAATAGGTGCATATGCTTTTGCTTTACTTTAATATAGCTTCTCTTAATACAAATCATGAATATTTAAAATGTTATCCCCCACCCCCTCCTTTTTTTGTTTTGTGTAGGCCATTTCGTCTGTAATGAATGCTGCCAGCCTTGTGGACATCCAACTGAGTGGAAAACATGTAGCATCCTTAGCAGACATTGTACTAAGAAAGGATAGCAAGGTCTCTATAGTATCAATATTTTTTTGTCCCACATAATTTTTTTTAAAACTTGATGAGCCCTTTTTTACAGCAGTGTGCTTGTTTTTTTAACTACAGGATAATAATATTATTTAGAAAAAATTCAATTAGAAACTTCAGGTGTATGTAAACTTGTACTTTTCTATTCTTGGTCATGGCAAGGGTTCTATAAAATAACATTGACTTCTGAAACAAAGATGAATTATGCCATGCTAAAAATAGGACTGTATTTTTCTTTCAAACCCACCTTAACTGTTTGATAGCCATAACATGTCTCTTGGTTATTTTTCTTATGCTGTTTAGTGCCAGTCTAGCACATACAGAGACAAGGAGGAAGCAGAAAACCCTTTAATAGAAAAACAACCCAGAAAACGCAAAGGTCAGTTATGTAAGCTTACCACAGTTACTAATACTAATTAGCCCCTGGCAGCACTGAAACAAAACTTCCCACTTTCACACCAACTTAGGTTGCGACTGACCAAAAAAAAAAAATGTCCTGTGCATAAATTCTTCAAAACTTAACATAAAATTGGAGATTATAGTGGGTAATACAGTGTTTACCAAATTGATTTGGTTGCTAGTCTGTGTTGTGGCTTACTTTACCAGTCCCCACAACATGAGTCAAGAAACTGTTTAAAAAAAAAAAAAAAGTTAAATGTTTCCTTGAGTCACGTTTCAAAGCAACGTTTCAAAACACGAGATAGTCTTGTGCATAAAACATGTCATAAACCCTTTTTTAATAACTCTCTAGAACCTGAAGAGTCTGATTTTCTTGTCATTAATAAGCAGGCTATTCTTTTACTTTGCTCCAATTCTTTCATATTCCGTAAAAAGAATTAATGAACCAGTAAAATCAAACCTTAAGGTTTAAGGAGCTTTTTTTCCCTTCATTTTAAAATAGCCACAACAATCTTGTAAAGGCCAGCATTAATTAAGAGTCCTACTGACTTGGCTGATTCCAGATTTTAAAATATTTATTGACCTATGTAAGGTCAAACAAAAAGTAAACTTAAAACTAATTAAGATATCTGGAACTGGTCCCTGGTGCAGTGCAGTGTGAAACTGGTCCACTAAATTTAAAAGTTTTTGGAAGCACTGGACCCTAATGGTTACCATATGTCATAAATAGTGTAATATAAATGATCTTATCAAAACTTAGAAATTAGTTTCTCGCTTGTTTGAGTGCTGCAGTTTTTTTTATTGGTGTGATCTCACTGAAAATACCATGGGAACATACAAATTAAACAACCCATTATTTATTATTATACTCAAGCTAACCCCCCAAAAAAAGGATAGTTTGTTCCTTCTTATTTTTGATGATAAAATGTATTCATATTTATTGTGTGTGTAAATTATAAATAGTATAAACCGTATCATTAAATTGAAACAAAAAAATGGATAGATTTATTAGAAGACAGCTACCGGTGCCAAAAACGACAGTGTTTCTCAACACAGGCCTGTTCTTATTTATGCATTATGATCTTATACTTTCTTTAGCCCCAGAAGAAGAATTTCTTGACAGTGAGAATATTGTTGATGAAGACAGAGAAGAAAAGCGTTTGAGAATTGAGACGGTTGTCAACAAATTTGGATATGAACCTCAACCAGTTCTGGAGAGGTTGTCCTACAGTGTAAGTTGGCCCTAATACAATCATTTCCTAAGACGTGTACCATGTGAAAAAGGGACAAAATATGGTTTGAAATTATGTAACTTGGAAGTGCAGTATAATAAATAATTGCTTAAAATAAACATTAAACTACAATTTCCAAATAAGCTTTAAGTTTAAATGATGTTGACATTTTATTTTTATTCTCAAGCTCTCATTGTTAGCTTTCTTTCCACAACATATGAATAAAATAATTAATATTGCTGATTTATAAGTTTATTACATGGAATGCTCTCTTCATATTTTAGTTTGACATAAAATTTCATGGTGAAGAGATGGACACCACCTGCAAGTCTTCAGTTGAGATCAGAGGCAAGTCTACATTGGAAGGGATCTGTCAGTTGGCCAAAACTGGATTGACCAAGTTTCCTTTACCTGCCCACATTGGCTCCATCACAAGTAGTTGTCTTCGCAACAGTTTTACCATACAGAACAAGAAAAAATAAAATGCAGAGTTTTAAGTTGATTTAGATGTTTGTAAATAGACATTGTGAAATATGACTGAATTTCTTTAAAGAAAGTTCAAACTTTTTAGTGGCTAATGCCATAACACTGTGATATGTACTACTCAAAACTATATGTTTTATTAAATTTTCTAACATTGGTAAATGAGTTAAGTTAATGATCATGTCTGTAATTTTGTCAGTTCAAGTTTAAAAAAAAAAGTGTTATTTCTTTAAATGGCATTTCTATTTTGTGACAAATTCTCTGAATTTGAAAAATAACCCTTAAAAAATTAAAGTAAAGGTAACCATATCTAAAGAGGAGTTGAACATGATCTATAAGGAGCTTGTTAAGCACTGGAAAATTGTCTACAACTGTTTGTCATTTAAACAGCAACAGGATATAATGGGAAGGAACATTACCAAATATAGTTATATTAACAATTCATTTATATTATATTAAATTATATTATCAATGTTAATATTTCACATACAGGGTATGCTACCGTTCATGCTAGTTGTGTACAAATTCAAGCTGACCACCCTCATTTCGTCAGGGAAAAGCTTAAAATGTACACAAGTAACCTAATTACATAAAATGCCAGTGTAAGAAATAGGGCACCAAGGAACATTTTTTTAAAATCCAGACTTTCACTTACAGAAATAATTATCGTTAAAATAAGTTAAAAAAAACAAACATACAATTACACTATAATTTATTCTTCAGGTACTCACTTCGCTCATCTAAATTTTCTGATCATTCGAAAATTCAAATACTGACACTTTTAAAATAAATCTAGTAACTTGACTTCAATTTAAAAATTCATCCTCACGATCGCATACAACAGGCTCATGCCATCAACCTCAATAAATATAGTCTTTTAAAAAAGATTCTCTACCAATAAGTATCCAGGTGTAGTCTGAATGGGCTACTGTTGACCATTTTGCATACACGTAAGTCTTATTGTTTCTAGAGGCTGCTACTTGCAAACATTTTTCTGAACTTTCTTGTGTCGCAGTGAAAAGACCAGAAAGGTAAAAAATCCACATTATCGAGTTCACCTTCCCCCTTACTACAGACACGGCCTGTCTCGAAGGCATTAGAGTGCTACCGGTTCCTAATCTGTCGACAGGGGTACAGATTTCCTAGGAGGCCAGGAAAAATAGAGGCAGCTAAACGGTGCTCAGTAACACTTTTCACAAACAACACACGTAGGACTAGGATCTTTGCAGAACCCTCCAAGTAAATTTTAAAAATTTGATATAGTACATTTGGTCCCACATTTGATAAAGCAGCTTCATGTTCAGTTGGTAGTCCAAGCTGAAATTTAACATCCGCTGAAGAGATGTGATGAGTGTACCCTGATAAAAACCGTTTGTTCTAAGATATATGATATGTTTTAGTATAGATTCAGAGACAAGGGTTTCCAGGAAACAGAGATTTCAGCTGAGACAACTTCACCGTTGATGTGCAATTAATTTTTTAAAATGTGCAATAATTAAGAGTTTGTTTAAAAATAAATAAAAGCCAGCTTGCTAAAGAACCTAATGATGAACCTAAAGAACCTAATGATGAACCTAAAGAACCTAATAATGAACATAAAGAACCTAATGATGAACCTAAAGAACCTAATGATGAACCTAATGATGAACCTAAAGAACCTAATGATGAACCTAATGATGAACCTAAAGAACCTAATGATGAACTATTGAAAATCATGAAAACTGTTATACTTTTAAAATTTCATTATCATACTTTATGCTGGTTTATGTTGCAATATATCTTTGTCAGATCGCTTTGAATTTATCAAATTAAGTGCAGATTCCTTGTTTAAAACACACCAACAAAAAATAAATAAAGTGTATTGTTTTACAGCTCTCTTTGCATATCCTTTCATATAAGTCTGCAAAATTATATTTATGATTTTAATAATAATTGTATATTTTTGGATGTCAAGAGCACTACTATATTGGTTCTTGGAATAATAATAATAAAGTTTATTTGAAAAACAGGCATCATCCCCAAAAGCTCGAAGCGCGGTACAAAGTCAACTATATTAAAAAGAGAAATAAAAACAATCTAAAATTTACCACATTTAAAAACAGACGCAACAATATAAAGCTACATACGAGCATACCAAGTCAAAGTCTTTCATCCGGTTTCAACCATAAGCAATACAAGCCAATACACATTAACTGAAAAAGATGGTAGATAGCATCACCCAGAAGATGTTTGCGAAATAAGATGTGTTTTTAAAATGAACCAAAATCATTCCCACAAACCAATGGACCAGGCACTGCAGTTTATCCTAAGTACCACCAATGAACGCCAGATGAAAAAATCACACTGTGACAGTTTTCTTTGACCTCCAGCAAGTCAGCAAGCATAATGATAAAGTCTGGAGGGTACGCCTGCTCCACAAGTTACAACAACTTGGGGGTAACAACCAATATGCAGAGATGGATGCGCCCTTTATTATCAAATTGCATGATATCCACACGTGTCGAAGATGCATGCACTTCACTAAAGAACAGACTCCCTTAATGGTCGGCCTTGAGCTGCACCTTGTTCCTGGCGTATGACCTAGTCATGTTAGGTAACAACGCGATGTTCACAGACGATTTAGTAATCTGGCAAACATATTCAGATACTTCATAGCTGGCTGCATATGGTGAAAAATGGAGATTGGTGGTAAATGCAGAGAAAACTGTATATTCCTCATTCACAATGGGAGGAATGCTCTAAAAGAAGAAATAAGAAAAAATTAAGCACTATTTGAGGAAACTGGCTAGCACTATTTGAGGAAACTGGCTAGCACTATTTGAGGAAACTGGCTAGCACTATTTGAGGAAACTGGCTAGCACTATTTGAGGAAACTGGCTAGCACTATTTGAGGAAACTGGCTAGCACTATTTGAGGAAACTGGCTAGCACTATTTGAGGAAACTGGCTAGCACTATTTGAGGAAACTGGCTAGCACTATTTGAGGTGCCGAAGCAAGCCTCCTAAGAATGCTATATCTGGGGAGTTTGAGAGGAGTACTGGGTTATAGCCTCTCAGTTCATGCCCTTGCGAGCTGAACGGCGATTAGAGGGACTGGATCGGATACACAACCTAGCTCTCAGGTTCGTATGTGGGGCATTACGTACTACACAGAGCGGGTGTGGAAATCTTGTCAGACATAGAACCACTCGGCATTAGGAAGGACAAAGCCATCCTAACGACAGTGGAAAGGTACCATCAGATGGAAAGAATGGAACCCTGTTTCCAACTTCAAGGCCCGTGGGTAAACAGGACTAGGCTAAAAAGACCTCCTCCTTCATGGGTGTGGTCCACTCACTTGAGTGAGCACCCTTTACCAGGGAACAGGTAAAAATATGCCTGATCAAGGAGAGATTCACCACCTGATGTACGACCCACCTGATGTACGACCCACCTGATGTACGACCGAACGACCCACCTGATGTACGTTTGTCACTGGCAAATGCAGCAGTTATAAAGTCAAGCCCCCAAAATGAGCAAGAGGAGGCCGCACGTATTCCAGCCGTATAAGGACTAGTACTAGTACTACTGGTACTAGTCTACACAGATGGCTCCTATCTCGCCAGCGAGAAAAAAGCCGGATACAGATTGCTCATCCAATACCTAAAGGGCTATCTCGAACAGGGGAGATTTCGGGGCCCAGTGCCACAAGTAGCACATCAATCACTTCAATCAATGCAGTGCGACGCAGATTGGCAAAAAGAAAAAAACTTCCACCTAGCATAGTGTACACGGACTCACAGTGCGCTCTAGAAGCTGTGAGGAGGTGCTCTTTTGACGCGATAATGGACAACAATCTCGGAGCTCATACAGTCACATGGAGGCAAAGTGGTCTTTTGGTGGATTCCTGCACACGAGGGATTACCCAAAAATGATAAAGCTGACTATCTAGCAAGGCAAGGCTCTGCCCAGCCACGACCAAACAGGCCAATGATGTAACTAGGGGGGTCAAGACCTAGATTAAGGACCTCGTAAAAGAGGAATGGCTAAAGAATTGGGAAAATGGACAGACAGCTAGAACATGCCTAAACCAAACAGGAAAGGCACTCAATAGTGGCGCCTGAAGTGCAAACACCAAAGTCTCATAACACAAATTAGAACAGAGCACTGCCCTACCCGGAGCTACCTGAATAGGTTACATCTGCTTCTGGACCGACCTGCCGTCATCGTGGACAGGCCCCGCGCCGGAGACAGGCGAGCGCACATACTAGCTGAGCGCCCGACGCTAACGAGTGGAGTGGCAGGGAATACCCCAGTCCATCATGTTGAGAGTCTAATTCACGGCACCGCCCAGCAGATGCGGCATGACTGTAACGTACTTGCCGGGGCCATAAAAGAACAATAGCTCGGTCTCAAAAAGTGAATGTAATATTTCAGTATAATTTGGGCAAATGCTTAAGATAAAACATGGGAAATCTGAACAACTCTGAGTGGAAGCAGTGCGACTAAGTGGTAAAACACCTAATTTGAATCTTGCTCTACCAACAGAAGAGGTGACAGTAAAGCAGAAATATCTCGGTCAGGACAGTTAACACAGCTTTGCCAGTGCTCCAGGACACGACTGCCTTTGTGACTAGCCCAGTGGTCTCCAAACTCATTCGTCAAAAGAGCCAAGAATCAGCAGCGGGACGATTAAAAAATTTATGAGAGCCAAATTTATTTTCAAAATCCCGTTAAGGACCATTACTACACTCACAGTATATGACATTAACTATTACAGTCACAATATATGACATTAACTATTACAGTCACAATATATGACATTAACTATTACAGTTACAATATATGACATTAACTATTACAGTCACAATATGACGTTAACTATTACAGTCACAATATGACGTTAACTATTACAGTCACAATAGATGACAAGAATGCTAAAGAGAAATACAAATTTTGCTCTAATCACAAGTATAAAACCCAAACACTAGCATCAATTTCAGTATTGAAATATTTATTACATTAACGGCGATGATCAATTGTATTAAATATGATAAAAGCGTACAAAATGACACACTAGGTACAACACAACGATGATTGCAGTGGGTAGGACATAGTGTTATTTTTGTGTGGACACCGTTTTGATTGAGGTAACACCAGAGGATCAGAAGCCTGAGTGAAAAGGGGATATATTACTTCTATTTATACATCCTCCAAACCCCCCCCCCACAAAAAAAAAAGGATATAGTGATTATGGTGGATGGAATTAAATAGAAGATTGGTGGACACAATTAAGAAAAGAAAATCTGTGATTTGTACCAAAATGAATCA